AAAAAAAAAAAAAAAAAAAAAAGGAAAGTATACTGAAGTAGAAATAAGGGAAGGGATTACCTATGGGCCTAAGCTACAAAGATGTTTAGATTAACTTCCTTCCAAGAATAATAACTTTTAATTTTTCTGAATAAAAATCCCCATTTTTCGTGCCTGGTGCCCAGAGCTCTGTGGTAAATTAAGTGACAAATTTTAAATGGCTTCTTTAAAAGGGTCGGCTTCACACTTCCTTCAGCTGTTTCCATAGACAAAAGAATGTCTTCCCAGGGTCACTCTGCTCCAGGAAAGGATAGAATCCCATTATCCTGCAGGTGAATGGGCAGCCAGGCAGTCCTCTGAGTCAGCTGCTGGCACCCCCTGCTGGCTGCCTGTAGGTCTCCAGTCTGAGCACCTGCCAATCATCTTGAGTGACAGACTGAGGTTACCTGATGACCTGTGAGTGAAACGGGAGCTGGACCCAGAGTTGAGATTCTTCGGTTCACCCAGTGTAGAAGAGGGCTGCCTGCAGGATGCTTCCCTGGGACCTGACAGCAGAGAGGAGGAGTCTGTCTGAAAAGTGACAAGTGGGGAGCCTTCAACTCTCCGGGAAATCAGTAGCTTTTGTTCCCCCTTCAGAAATGTGTGTTCACACACACATGCCATAGCTCTGTCCATACAGCCAGCAGTTCCTAGGCCCCTGACTGAGTTCAGTTTGAAAGTCTGAGTTTCAGATCCTGTTCTGGCTGTGTGCACTGCACATCTACGCTCCTCAAATGGACAAGACAGAGAAATCTGAGGATTTAGGTTGATAGTGGTGTCCACTTTGTTTATAGAATTCTGCTTGCTTCTAAAGAGGAGTAGTTTCAGCTTCTTTATCTTTGAAGACTACACCAGAAATGGACATATCCAGTGGACAGGCTAAAATTAGTCAGAACATGGTTGAACAGCAGGACCATCCATCTATAGGATATGATGAATGTCCATGAACTAAGATAGGCCATGCTCTGAACTATAAACCATGTAATGTGTCTAAAAGAAGAGGGCCGGGAATACAACTTAGTGCCACACTATCAGCCCTGGGTGTGATCCCTGGCACAACTGCCCGACAGAGAGACAGAAAATGTGTGTGTGTTGGGGGCGGGGGGTATCAGTCAATCAGAGTCCCTCTTAGACTACAGTAAAATTTCACTCCAAATAAATAGCAGAAGGATTGCTGGAAAACACCAAAGTATTTGAAAATTAAACAATCTGAGTTATACATAAACCAAGGAAGACATTCTGAGAAAAAACCATTGTTTAAAGCAAACGTACGTGGAAGTACAGCTCACCGCAGTGTGGGGTGCAGCAGGAACAGTTCTTGGAGGGATCTCTGCAGACTCAAGGGTCAGGGCCTCGCCGCCGTGATAGATTGCACTTGTCAATGCCCGGAGCCGAAATGAGGTCCATGAGAGGAATGGCTTCTTTCTACCACTCAGATTTTGCCCAGTGATGGAAAAGATCAGTTTTCTTGTGGAAATTCCGTGGCGGACCAAGCCTTCCTCGACTCCCTCTCAGCAAGCACTGCTCAAGCCAACTCCTCTTCCGCCAACAGCAACAACCAGGTACGTTGTCTCTCCTCCTCGGCCTCGGCTGCCTTCCCTGAGAGCAAAGCCTGAGGGGAAGCTTGTGGTTCAGCACTGCTGTCCTTGCTCCCGAAAGCAGGGTCAAAATAGCTGGGAGGGGGTGTGGTGGGAGGGGGTGCAGTGTGTCACCTGAGGGGGGTGTGGTGTGAGGGGCGTGAGGGTGTGTGGTGTGGGGGGCGTGCAGGTGTGAGGGTGTGTGGCTTGCATGCAGATGTGAGGGTGTGTGGCTTGCATGCAGGTGTGAGGGTGTGTGGCATGCAGGTGTGAAGGTGTGTGGCATGCAGGTGTGAAGGTGTGTGGCATGCAGGTGTGAAGGTGTGTGGCATGAGGGTTGTGCAGGTGTGAGGGTGTGTAGCTTGCATTCAGGTGTGAGGGTGTGTGGCTTGCATTCAGGTGTGAGGGTGTGTGACGTGCAGGTGTGAAGGTGTGTGGCATGCAGGTGTGAAGGTGTGTGATGTGAAGGTGTGTGGCGTGAGGGGCTGTGGCATTCCTGCTAGGTATTAACACAGACCTCACTCACCTGAAATGCCTGCTAAAGACTGCAATACTAATAATAAAATGAAAGGTAAGGTGTTAAGGTTTGCTTTTGAGAGTATCAGGATATGAATACAGGAACCCCCCCAAAGGCAAATACTCCCCAAAATGAGGGCCTATAAAGAAGGGAGGAGACATCCTGAGGAGGCCTGTCTGTCTGGGCTAGACCAGGACTTTGTAACCCTCCTGTCAGAGGAAGAGGCCCTCATTGCCCATCGAAGCAGCTGAGGTAAAGTTCGGCACAGCCAGGCACTCGGCACTTACACTCTTTGTTACTGCTGCTAGCTGCAAGTGCACTTAGTGTGAGCTTGTGTTTTAAAGAATGTACACATTTTAAACATGGCATGGTGGCCCATCCCAGCACTTGTGAGGCAGAGGCAGGCGGATCTCTGTGAGTTCCCGGCCAGCCTGGGCTACATAGCAAGTTCTAGGCCAGCCAGGGCTACATAGCTAGACTCTGTCTCAAAAACAAAACAAAACAAAAATAAGAGAGTTAGAAAGTACATATTCTATGTTTTGTATTTCTGTTAGTGGTTCCTGGAGTCACCAGAGACTCATTGTAGAACTGAGATCAAGCTCTGTGAATAACAAACTAGGGAAAGGGACGGGCTCTTTGGTGGTTTGAGTTGAAATGGTTAGGTTTTCACATGAGAGGGCTTTGTATCCTCTGGCCCCTTTGAGAGAAACAGTTAACCCCCCTCAATTATCCCAGTCAGAATGCCCCCTCTCCCCCGTGGGGCAGTGATAACATGTCACTTGTCCAGTCAGAATGCACGGCCCCCCCCCCCGTGGGGCAGTGATAATATGTCACTTGTCCAGTCAGAATGCCCCCCCGTGGGGCAGTGATAAGGTGTCACTTGCCTCCTAGTTTACTTTCTAGTCCAGTGGGCACACAGTTACTGAATGTTTAATCAGTGAGAAACGTCTGATACTATCTTAGTCATGCCGATGAGCGGAAGAGAAAAACCACCTTCTCTAAACAGCCCCCCGTTAGGAACAACAAATGCTAACTTTCCATTCAGTTTGGTTGGGTACCCCGGGGAAAGTCCTGGGCTGGAAGTTTCCAGTTACCCGGTCCAGTGTTCTCCCTCCATGGCTCCTAGCAGGAACCTGTATATGAGGGTGCAGCTGTCCGGTCCGTCCGGCAGGCCAGGCCGAGCTGCAGCAGAACACACAGTGTATAAGTTGAGCCCTGGAAGCTCTCCACGCGTGTAACGAGTGGAGCCTTGAATACACAGGGACTCTCCTTGAGGACGGTAACATAAACTGTGGTTAGCCTGTGGTGGGGTGGCTCCCGGGTGGACTAGCCAACTAGTTATCTGCTGACTGTGTTGAGCTTTGAGTGTTTTCTGGAAGGGAACAGTAGACCATGGTGCTGGAGCCCACTAGTGGGTGTCTTACACTTGAGTGTTTCCTTTGTAAACTAGTTTGCTAGTTTGGTTGAAATGCCAAGCAGAAAGCTGCCTTAATGAAACTAAGTCTCAATGGTAGTCCACTCACAGGGTCTGACCCAGCTCACAGATAGGAAAAGTCACAGTGGCCATGGCCCATCTTCCTGTGTCTGTGTGTGAGCCAGGCAGTATCTAAACACCTAGAACTCGGAGATGAGTTGGGCTCAGCGTGTTCTCCCAGCAGGCACCTGCCCTGCCCGGGCTGCACATTTAGGTAGCAGATGTAGGTGCTTGCTCTAGGTTCCCCAAGGATGTCTATGGAAAGCAAGATGCAACCAAATAGAAATACTGTAAAAGGAGAACGTATGTATCACTGTGTAACCAGCAGTTGCCATGAGAGACATCCCATGCCCGGTCACAACTGTGTGTGACACTGTAGTCCTTGAGTGACCTGGGAACTTAAGGACTGAATTAGCTCAGATCAGACGTTCTGTGTGAGCCTGCATCATACATGATATGCTGTTTCATGTTACACCACATCAAAATACACAGTATCTAGTCAGTCCAGTGTTGAGACCAGATGATGCCTAGGTTATCCGGATGACAGTCTTCCTCCATTGTATTGTGTTTTCTCCTTCTGTCCAGAAAATAATCTGCTTGGAATGGAGTTGACGCTCCTCACTGTTCTTCTAACAGCCTGTGCCAGTTGTTAACATTGCCTGGATCACTCCAGGTTTTCTTCTGCACGTGCAGGCCTGCCTTTCTTCCCTCCACCTCCCATCACCAGCTGGAGCTAGCTGGCTCGCCCGATCCAGCCTTTAAGAGTTCAGGATAAATACAGAAGTCTTTCTCTTTAATTGCTAATTTTCAAACTACATTGTTTTATAGCTGCTTCAGACAGTAGCTAATGAGTTTTCCTCTTTCTTCTTTTGCATAGCATTGTGGGCCTGAGGATTCATATTGGCTCAGTGCAGTTAGACCTCCGGAGCTCTGCTGTTTTCTCTGTGTGTGGTTGTCTGCTGTTGAGAGCCCCCTCGGGCTGTTCCTCTACACCAGTTAGACCTGACTGCTGCCTTCCTCCGCCTGGGTCAGCTCCAGTGGCCGATGTTTTCTCTTTGAGATAGGCCTCATTCCCCTGCTTTCTCACTCCTGGTAGTCTCCAGGACCGAGGATTGTGCACCCTCATTAATATTTTAAACCTTAATGATATCTGTAAGTTATTTTAAAATCCCCATTTCTTTTTGGTTTTAAGCTTTTCTAAGTGTGAGCAGAGGAATATTTCCCCTAGAGGTGTCTTTGTCCTGCTACTGAAGTGAACCCTTGTAGTGCACCGTGTGCTGTGAGGCTTCCTGCGGTGGCTGGAGGAGCTATCCTGTGTAAGGATTCTGCTCTGGATTTCCTCTCATGCTCCTTCTCTGGCTTGCAGAGGTTCCTTACGATGAATTTATTAGGTGTCAACTTTAGACCTAGGGCTCCTCTGTAGACCCACAGCTTCCTGGGTGTAGCTCGTTCATGCCCTCACTGCATCCCTCTTCCCAGGGATGGGAAGGTCTGTGGATGGATGGGCTCTGTGGGGTCCTGGCAGGGAATGGGGCATTCATAGGTCTCATCGTGTTTCCTGTGACCAGGATGACTGTCCTTCAGTACCTGGTGATTTGAAAACAGCTTCCTAAATGTTATCATTTGTAGCATGAGTGAGAATGTGAACTGGGTCCCGTTGGTCCTTCTTGATTACCTTTTCTGTGCCTTGGCTTCCAGAATGTACTGTTATTGGCATCTGTGAAATGAGAGTGATGTCACTCATTTCACAAGAGTTGAACCAAACACCTTAGAGACCGTACTGGTGTTCACTCCATGCCAAGCACTGGGGGACCTGGGACTTGGGCTCCAGAGTTGTCAGGAAGTGAGTCAGTGACCACAGTCCAGCAAGCGCCCACCAGAGGACATGCACTTTCACCTCTCAGTTCCCAGAGTGGACAGCCTCCTCTGTCCCTCACTTACGGCTCTGAGTCTGAGTTGAGGTAACAGGGTGGCTTTGGTCATCCTGGCCGGACTCTCACACGATGCTTTTGAAAGGAAAGGGTTAGAATCCTACCATTTTGAAATGTGTGTTTCAGCTGTGTTTCCTGAGTCTGCCTCGCCGGTCCTGTGACATGCATGGCTGTGACATGCATGGCTGTGACATGCATGGCATTTGCCCTGCTCCTGTGCAGCCCAAGCTGTTTGTGGGTGCTTCAGTGGTGCTGTATCGTGGTACCAAGAACAGGCTGGGGGAGATACAACACACTGCCACAGCGCTGGGCTTCTGTGTGGCCTGTTTGTGTTTAGGTGGCATGTAGGCTGTTTGGGTTTTGTTGTGAGGTTTCTGGTTTTGTTAAAAGCTATGCCCCCTGCTCACTGAGTGCCTTTTTATTTTAAGGTGAATATTTTGACTCAGATTGGTTGTGTTGAAAGTCTCAGCCAATCGCCTCCTTCTTCTCCTTCTCCTTCTTCTTCCATAAATAAGGTAAATTTGAGATGTAAATAACTACATGAAGAAATAATCATCTAACAACCCTGACAGGTGTTCTTTTCCTATGCGGTAATTTGAGGAAGCTCTTCTGGGGCTTGGTCGGCCAGATGTGACTGGAAGTCAGGACCTACAGGACCTAGAGGACGTAGAGGCTGCAGCCGAGACTTTTCCTGCAGCATCACAACTCATGGAGGTCTAGGGAAGGGTTTGAGTCTGAGTGACAGGAGACCCCGGTACCAGAAAGGGGCAGAAAAGAAAAGGCTGAAAAGGTTGCTCAGTGGAAATGACTGAGGAGGGAAAGGGGGAGAACAAGCTAGAGAAGAGGACTCTCATCTCAGAAACAGAGTGGTTAGTGTGTGGTCACTAGGGAAGAGGACCCTCGGCTCAGAAACAGAGTGGGGTAGTGTGTGGTCACTAGGGAAGAGGACCCTCAGCTCAGAAACAGAGTGGGGTAGTGTGTGGTCACTAGGGAAGAGGACCCTCAGCTCAGAAACAGAGTGGTTAGTGTGTGGTCACTAGAGAAGAGGACCCTCAGCTCAGAAACAGAGTGGTTAGTGTGTGGTCACTAGGGAAGAGGACCCTCAGCTCAGAAACAGAGTGGTTAGTGTGTGGTCACTAGAGAAGAGGACCCTCAGCTCAGAAACAGAGTGGGGTAGTTAGTGTGTGGTCACTAGGGAAGAGGACCCTCAGCTCAGAAACAGAGTGGTTAGTTTATGGCTGAACCTTTCAAGACAAAGGGGTTGTTGGGTTGAGAGTGAAGGAATTATTAGCCAAAGGTCCTTTAAAACAGATCATTATATCCCAGCTTGTTACATTGGGATCAGATTGTGAAAACACCAAGCTCTTAGCATTGAGGGTTTCTAGAATGTTTCTTCCACAGCCCTGGAGCTGGATGTTACTGCTGACTTCACTTCTGCCTTCTGAAGGAAGCAGATCTTTGGCTAGTAGAAAATATTCTAATTGCCTAGTTTCATCTCTTCATTTTAAAATGTCTCCAGTAATGTGGCCTGGCATTTAAACTATTTGAAAATGTACCCGTGGCCTTCCCCTTTTAGCATAGAGGAGGAGGTGTACCCCTTAGTGAACTGCTGGCTTCCTTTTTTCTCTGTAATTTATTTGGGGGCAGTGACTTGCTCTGTAACCCAGGCAGCTTCTAGAAGTTGCTGTGCAGCAGGCTTCCTGCCTCCTCAAGTGTAGTTTCTTTACGTTCAGGTGAACCCCCACATATAAGATAACTCTAGAGAGCCCTCCTTTGTCAGTACTCTGTGCATTTATCAGTTCATACTTAACACCCCCCGAGGAAGTTAGTGCTGCAAACCCCGTTTTAAGGTGTGGGAACTAAGGAGGGCAAATTTGTGCGGTATCTAGTAAGTAGGAACACTGGGGTTCAAGCCTAGGTAAATGTCAGAGCGCGGGTTCTTAATCCCTGCGCCCATGTGAGGGTTCCTTGGCCCCGTGCTTACGTAACAGTTGGAATCCACCTGGCTGGCCGGCATCCCGGCCTTTTCACGCGGTCTGTGAAGTTGAGCCCCGGAGCCCATGTGTGGGTCGGTGATGGGCTGCCCATGAGTGACCACCCGTAAGATTCTGATGGAGCCCAACATTCCTGTTGGTGACACCATCCCTGGCCTAATGCATTGCTCCCACATGTGTGGTTGTGCTCACACACCGTGTAAAGTGTGTCCTCGGTCATGCACACGCAGCACAGGGACGGACGGACAGATGGACAGACGGCTGTCTGCCGGTTTACTGTTCACTACACTTCAGCCCATTGTCTCAGTCTTTCCCTTGAACAAGAAGCTAGCCGGGCAGCAGCGTCAGACGTGCCCGGTGTGCTGGACCTCGCCACTCGGTTGTTCTCTCTCCTGACTGAGTCTCGTGTTGGTTTGCTCGCTGTGGCCTGAGGAGCAGGAAGCCATAGCACATGTGTGTCCTGGGAAACCTTGGTGGATACTAGCTTGTCTACCTGGGTTTGTACGCAGGCTGTGCCAGAGCGCAGTCACCTGGGTGGATTTCTCAGAAAGTAGCTCATTAAACACATCTGTCATGAGTGTAGCTCCCCTGTGGTTATAGATACTTGAGTGTGCAACATGCACACCTACCACTGCTTCCTTTGTGGCCATCCCAAGTACATTCTCAGGTCCCTCTGTTGACAGTCAGATACAAGGCTGGTTTCCTCCGACACTTAAGGTAATGCTCTAAGTTCTTTCAGAAGCTGGCTTGAAATTGCCTCCTGTTACACAGGCAATAACCTGTTAAACAACCTCTGTGTGTGTGTGTGTGTGTGTGTGTGTGTGTGTGTGTGTGTGTGTGTGTCTGTCGTCTGTCTGTCTGTCTGTCTGTCTTAGGAGGGTCTGATAGCCTTTAGATATAAAGCTGCAGACAGGCAGCTGTGTTGAGTCTGTTGTTCCTGGGTGTTGAACAGGGCTTTAACAGAGTCGGGGTGGGGGTTAGGTGGAGAGGTCGGACACAATCAGTGAGTTACCGAACAGGACGGAGCGCGCTGGCCATACATCCAGGTAGACATTCTAAAGTGGCGGACCTGTTGTTCAGCTGTGTATCCTTGACTCCACTTGAGTGTATTACTTTTAAAAATAAGAATTAAGACCCACTGAGAAGTAGCTAAGGCCGGTGGAAAGGGCCTCGGCAGTAGCAGGTACAATGGCGCTCTAGCAGATGCAGGAGAATGTTGGCGTCACTGAGAGCAGGCTGACGTTGCTCATCACGCTCGTGTTTTCACATGGGTTGGGGGCAGAGAAATGTCGCTATATTTCCGTTGATTCTTCCAGCGCTTGGGTTGTCCTCAGTTGACCTGTCAGCCCATTGCTAACGGAGTCACGGTTTCTAGATGTCAATAGTCTTTCTCCTTTTCCTCTCCCACACAGGTTGGTGGTGGCAATGACCCTTGGTCAGCCTGGAATGCCCCCAAATCTGGGAACTGGGACGGCTCAGATGCCTGGGGCAGCAGGACGGACGGACCTGGCGCTCAGAGACACAGCACTAACAACTGGGACACTGCCTTCGGCCACCCACAGGCCTACCAAGGACCAGGTGAGGGCGGCTGCTGCTGCAGTAACTTACGGGAGACCGGGTGACAGGCTAATCTTGCTATCATCCAAGCCAGCACAGCACAGTGACTCAGTGTCCGCAGCACTGACACCATCTCCTTGGGACAGTGGCCACCTCCCAGGATTACCTCCCATGGAACCTTCCTGGGTCCCATGAACTTGCTAGAACAGGGCACAGAACTCGGGGAATCACTCGACTTACTGTTTGTTACGAGGAATAAACCAAGGGATGCAAATGAGCAGCCCGGGGAGGAGGTACATAGGGGAGGCGTGGGGAAGGGGGGGGTACTTCCAGGCCCCCTCCTGTCATAGCCCCCCCAGCACCTGCACATGCTCACCAGTGAAGACACTGTTAGAACCCTGTGGCCCAGGGCTTGTGTGGAAACTTCATCCCGTTGGCAGCCAGTCTCCTCTTCACAGAGGATGAGCTGGGGATGAAGACTCTGAGCTTCCGGTCAGTCGTAGCCTGTTTTTCCTGGGGGTGAGCTTCAGTCCCAGAGTGCACCATGAGTCAGTCTCCTCTGGACTAGAAGATACTCCTGTCATCCAGGAAACGCCAGGGCGTGAGCACTGGATCTGGAGACCTGCTTGACTCTGCCTCTGGGTTTAAGCAGAGGAGAGAAGTATTGAAGGAGAGCAATTCAATGACTGAGAAAGGGTATTTGCACCAGGTGGGGCGGTGGTGGTGCATGCCTTTAATCCTAGCACTGGGGAGGCAGAGGCAGGTGGATCTCTGAGTTTGAGGCCAGCCTGGTCTACAGAGTGAGTTCCAGGACAGCCAAGGATACACAGAGAAACCCTGTCTCAGGGAAAAAGAGAAAGGGTATTTGGAACAGAGCAGGAAGCTTAGTTGGCAAAGGATCTGAGTTTGATCCCCTATTGAAAAAAAATACCTATTGAAAAAACGCCAGGCTGGTGGCTGAGATGAAACAGGCCACCCAGCCTAGGCTGCTTGGTGACTAACAGGTCAACGAGAGACCCTGTCTCAAAAAACGTGGTCAGGGCTGGAGCGAGGGCTCAGTGTTTAAAAGCACTTGTTGCTCTTGCAGAGGATCAAGGTTCATTCCCCAGCACTCACTCACATGCCCCTGACAGTTTCTGTACTTCAGTTCCAAGGGATGTGATGCCCTCTGCTGGCCTCTGTGGGCACTGCTTGTACATGATGCACATACACATAAAAAATAAAATTTAAAAACGAAAAGACAGATGGCCTTCCTGAGGAACAACATCCAAGGTTGTCCTCTGGTTCCCATGTGTGTATACCACCCCCACACAGATGTACATGTGCACACACACATACATAGTACAGACATGCACACTCCCCCGAGGACGTTCATGCTAGTTATGGAACTGAAAAGGTGCAGGTCTGCTCTTGGTGTGCGCGTCTCAGCTTCTGTGCGACCGGCAGAGCCGCACAGCAGACACGCTCCTGCCCTCTCTCGGCCCGTCGTCATTGCTGGGCAGTTGTTTTTAGAGGTGGCGTCCTTTTTCCTCGCTAACGTCTTTAAATCAAGAAGTTTTTTTTTTTTTTTCTTATTTGTAAGTTTGTAAGAATAAATTTGTCCATGCCAAGTCCTCTAGAAGGCTTCCCTTGGGTACCAGGCCATGCTGCTGTAGTCTGCATTAATCAGAAACTACTCAGAGCAGCAAAACAGTGCTCTACAGCATGTACATACGAAAGTGATTACTGCCACTGGTTGTCTTATGCCCCAGGCCGTGCATAAGAGCCCAAGACTCACTCCTGGAAGCTGCACTATATACCCTCTCACATACATCCCTGCACCCTCTCCCCATCTTGTCTACATCCCTACATCCCCCTCCCCATCCCATCTACACCCCTGCATCCCCTCCCCGTCCTTAGTGGTAACAGTTCTTCTCTCTGCTTCCACGTGCCCAGGAGTGTTAGAGATTCTAACACATATGGCTGAGATGCTCTGACGTGGCCTTCTGGGCCTGGGATTGTTTGCGTGTGTGTCCTAGTGTCATCTACATAATGCCACATTGTGTATGTGTTCCTCACTTTCTTCACCCGCTCATGGGCTGATAAACACTTGGGTTGACTCCACATCCTGGCTACTGCGGGTATTGCTGCAGTGAATGTTGGAGCCGAGAGGACTCTGCCAGGTGCCGATGTAATTCCTAACGGGCAGCCAGCCGAGCCGAGTTTTCTTTTGTTTTGTTTTGTCTTTCTTGTTAGTTTTTAAGGATCCCCATACTTTTCTGTAGTTCTGCTGATTTCCATTCATATCAAGGCTACAAGAAGTCCATTTTCTCTGCACCCTTGCCAATGATTCAGTCTTCTGTAGAGCTTAGCAGCCATAATCGGCACACAGCTGTTTTTTCTTTCCTTCGTAAGTAAAACTCCCACCTTTTCACTTAAGGAAGGACTTCCTATCTATTCTTGGCTGTACCTGAGCACGAGTCTTGTGCTTTGCTGTACCATCGTTAACACTGACCACTTGAACGTAAGCACTGTGGTTCTACTCGGTCTATCTGATAACCAAGGTCACAGCCTCTATAGGCTGGGCAGAGGGGAAGTTCACACCCCAAGCAGGACGGAGCAGGAAGGTGTGAGATTTCATCATGCAAAACTTGCACATTGATTCTTTCTTTTTTTTTTTTTTTTTCTGCTTTTTCGAGACAGGGTTTCTCTGTGTAGCTTTGCGCCTTTCGTGGGACTCACTTGGTAGTCCAGGCTGGCCTCGAACTCACAGAGATCCACCTGGCTCTGCCTCCCGAGTGCTGGGATTAAAGGCGTGCGCCACCACCGCCCGGCACATTGATTCTTTCTTAAACCTTCCATTTAGTATTTCCCAGGCCATCATTGACCACAGATAATGAAAACTGCAAATAATAAGGGAAGTGAAGCCCTGAGTAAAGAGGCCTGTGGTGTTGGCTTTCTCATTATTGAATTGTTGGGCGGCGGTGGGCGTTGCTCTTTTGGAGATTTTATTTACTTTTGTTTTTTATGTATGAGTGTTTTGCCTGCTTGTGTGTCTGACACTGTGAGTGTGCAAAGCTCTCAGCGTCCAGGAGAGGGCATTGGCTCTCCTGGAACTGGAGTTACAGGCGGCTGTTGGCCACCATCTGTGTGCTGGGAGCAGCCTGTGCCCCACTGCTAAGCTGGCTCTCCGGCCTTCCAGTATTGAAGTACAGGAGTTCCCTCTGTAGTTGGAATTCTGACCCTTTATCACGTGAGGGTTCACAAATGCATTCTCTTCTGTCTATAAACTGTGTTTAGCCAGGCGGTGGTGGTGCATGCCTTTAATCCCAGCACTCAGGAGGCAGAGCCAGGCGGATCTCTGTGAGGCCAGCCTGGTCTACAGAGTGAGATTCAGAACAGGCACCAAAACTACACAGAGAAACCCTGTCTCAAAAAACAACAACAACAACAACAAAACAACCTGTGTGTTTATTCGTTGGTTGTTGCCCCCTGTGCTGTGCTGGTTGGATGTGGCCCTACTTGTTAGGTTTGCTTTAGTTCCCTGACTTCTGTGTGACACCTAAACAGAGAGCTGAGGGCATGCCAGGGGATTCTTCTCCCATCATCCTCTGGGAGTTTGACCGTTTGGGATCTTACATTTAAGTGATTGGTTTTCTGTTGACTATTTAGATGATGTAAGGTAAGAGCCCAGGCTTTAATCTTATGTGTGGACATCCAGTTTTCCCAGCACCACTGACTGAAGAAGCTGTCCACTGAGGCACTTGTAAAGAGTTGGTTGACTGATTGCCTTATTCAGCCTAGTTCTGCTTTGCCTTTTGCATTAAGAAAAAGAAAAAAAAAAAAGGCAGAATTCCTAGGTCAAGCCTCGAGACTGACTGCAAAACCTGTGTTCTTCAGATCCATGAGACAGTCAGCCCTGGACTCTGCTCTGCGGCTCCTACTGGCAGTGGTGGCACACGCCTTTAATCTCAGCACTCGGGAGGCAGAGCCAGGCGGATCTCTGTGAGTTCGAGGCTAACCTGGGCTACAGAGTGAGTTCCAGGACAGCCAGGGCTACACAGAGAAACCCTGTCTCAAAAAACCAAAAGAACAAAACAAAAAAACCCTGGTTATCTCAAGCAGTTGTTTACAGTAAACTCAAGCAATCTCGCTTACGTTTTCTTTCTTACTGTTTTTTGTTTTTGTTTTCCCTACGTACAGCAACTGGTGATGATGATGAATGGGATGAAGAGTGGGATGACCCCAAGTCCTCATCTTCTTACTTTAAGGACTCGGAATCAGCTGAAGCAGGGGGTATCCAGCGAGGAAACAGCCGTCCAGGTGCCTCGTCCATGAAGCTGCCCCTTAACAAGTAAGTTTTATAAGGGGAGCAGGGGATGTCTACACATACATACACACACACACACACACACACACACACACACACACACACGCATGCACACACATATGCACACACGTGCATGCACACGCGCACCACAATGCAAGAGAAGTTTTACTTTTTTCTAGTTAGTAATCTACTGAACTGGAGTCTTGTTTGGCCTTTGAATCTTAGATTGGAAGCTGTTTTCATTTCATCAGTTTCACAAGGTTAACAAGTGAAGTGTTTATTCAGTTATACAAGCATGGCGCACACCTGTAATCCCAGCACATGGGAGGTGGAAGCATGAAAATCTGAAGTTCAAGACAATCCTCAGCTGTAGGGAGCAAGTTCAAAGCCAGCTTGGGACACCACAAAAAAACCTTCAAAATGCTTTTTATTGTCTTTAGTTATAAACGCCATGATATACTAATGTTTCATCAATAAAAATAAGTATTACTAGGAATTATTTTTAGCTAAGGAAAGCAGGTCTCTCAATGCTTTCCTGTTTTATTGATCACTTCCCATGTGCCAGGCATTGTGCAGCGGTTCATGGGCACCCTTAGATCCTGTTGTGGGATATGGCATCCTGTTTTACTACAGGGAAAACGGAAGCCTGTCCACACACACATGGTAGGTGGGTACATCAGGATTCCAGGCACATGATCTGCGGAATGTGTTTCTAACATGTGTTTTCACCTAGAGTTCTCTTAGCTTAAGGAAAACTACGTTCATGGAACTTGTAGATCCACTACTTGTGAATATGGACACAGCCCTGGGGGATTCTGGGTAGATCCACTACTTGTGAATATGGACACAGCCCTGAGGGATTCTGGGTAGATCCACTACTTGTGAATATGGACACAGCCCTGGGGGATTCTGGGATAAGGAATGATGTTAGCAAGCGCTCTTCTCCCAGCAGTCACACTTAAAACAGCATGTCCCAAACTGCTAACACTGTCTCAGTACTTCCTCTAGGTCTACAATTCAGAGTGCATTCAGGGAAAGTCAGTTTGTGTCCGAATTGTTTTTTGTTTTTTTGTTTTTGTTTTGAAAGCTTTTGTTTAGCATCTATCTAGAGATTAGGGTCAAAGTCTTGGACCTTGTGTGATGGGCCTGCAAGGTCTCCATAGTCTATCTGGATAGCAGGGGTTAACTGAGCTCTTAGACCACAGTTTCAAGCCTCTCCAGTTTCTTCCATTATGGTTTTTGTGCTCAGTTGTGTGCACAATAAAATTAGTCATGGTCATCTGCTGTTTGCTTATCTCTAAGACTACAGAGTTTTCAGTAGGATTGGTTGTGGTGACATTTTTCTCAGTTCTTTCCGCCTAAATGTAAAATGGGTTTAAAGACCTTTTACATGTGGTTTTTCTCTTGGTCCTCGGAAAAGTAGAGGCAGCAGAACAAGCAAGCAGCTGAGGTCTCCTGGCAGCGCAGGAGTCAGGCCCCTCCCTCTGCGCTGCACCTGCTCCCAGCTTGTTCTGAGTTTGGTGCCTGTTTTAGTCCCTGTTTCCACCCAGTCGCCTCGTCCCTGGAGAGTCTTTGTACGCTAAGATGTCATTCCAGCTTGAAACCACATTAGAGCAGGCTAATTTGAACCTGTCCCTCCAAGACTTGTGTCTCTTTACGGTGCAGGGAACAACTTAAAGCCTGTGTGTTTTTCAGTGCTCATCTTTTCAGCAATTCATTTCCTGTTAGCTGTCGTCTAGTTCTAGCAGGTAACCCCTGTGCCAGAAGAGGAAGGTGGAAATTTAAATATACTGGGGCATTATGAGAACACATCTGTAATGATAACAAATTCATGTGTTATATTGCTGTTCACCTAACAATAATTGACTCTGCGTAGATGTGGATGTGTTAGCAAGAGGCCATTGCTCCAGCACAGATTGGCACACTGGATCCTGGGGCTCAGGGAGACTTGACGTCTGCCCTTCACTGTGTTGTTGTAGTAGCTGTTTCAGACTTGATGAAGCAGGCAGAGTGCCTGTGACCATCACACCAGCTGGGGCCATATGTTCCCTTCCGGTGCTCAAGCTTCATGGAGAGGCTCACTGGCCATCGGGGCCCCTGATTACCCTTTACGGTTTCCGTCTGAAAGACAGAACAAGGTTAAAACCGGTGTTAGGCCACATGGTGAGAGCTGTAGGGTTTATGTGAGGAAGGGCAGAGACTCACAGTTCTTATCTTCATGATCAGGTTTCCTGGATTTGCAAAGCCTGGCATGGAACAGTACTTGTTGGCCAAGCAGCTAGCAAAGCCCAAAGAGAAAATCCCCATCATTGTAAGTTTGCTCGCTCTTGTCTGTTTGTTTTATTTCTAATTAAAGTTTTTTATAATGTCTAAGCTAAGGACGTTAGTCTTTTTGGAAGTATTTTTAAGCACATTGTCCCAGGTAGTTGATAATGTTATTAGGAGGACTAAAGATAATCAGCATAAATTAATGATTGTCACTGTTTCTCTCAATTTTCTCCATTTTTATCTTTCAACAATTAATGTTTAACCAACGCTTGTACATTTTAATACTTTTTCTTTTCTAAAATGCCTTAGACTGTTAGACTTAGAGCTTATGTTATATTCTGTTTTTCTACCAGCCTTATTTGCTTAGCCAATAAACTCAGTTCACATTTTTATGTTTCCACCCTGATGGAAGTAGAGCACATCACTAGGATAAGGTGCTTTTCCCACTAGACTGGTAATAGAATTTCTTCCAGTAAGCTAGCTGTCAGCTCAAGATAAGGAGCTAGCAAATAAAAGCTGGGAATTAATGGGACCAGCAATGATTTAATCTGTCTTGGTGAAATGATTATTACATAATGTGACAAATGCTCTTTGGTTTCATCCCATACTTTGATTGTTAATACATTTCCATCTAGGCAATATCTAGTGAAATTTAGGGGGAGGAAGGTCTGTGACTGTTTTGTAACCCTATTGACTTAACCTGCAGCTGATGGAAGCCTGGGATGTAATCCCCATGGCTGCAGGCAGGCATAAGGAACCACCTGCCTCTTCCAACCTTTGGTTCCAGGGACCCATGATGAAATACCAGGAATGATAACGAATCCTTGAATTACTTTCCCTATCTGTAAAAAGCTTAAAATTCTAGGAACCGCCAGCCAGAAGTGCAATATGTCCAAGCCCCTGGACCCTTTGTTCCTCAAAACATGTTTGGGGTAACTATCTCTGAGTGATTTGACTTAAGAAGATTTGAATCTTTTTGTTTGTTCCAGGCTGGGGGAAGGGGAGGCTGACATACATCAGGAGCCTTCTCATTGAATTTAAAGCTCTGGAGTTAAGAGCCCACGGTTTGCCCCTCATATTCTAATGTGGACATTGTCACGGGCATGACTGTGGTGGAGCAGAGCATGACGTCCACGCTTTGTTCATGAGTTTTGGCAGAGAGAGACCAAGGAGCCCCGTGGGCAGGCCTGGCTGTCAGTTCCTCCCATAGCAAAGAAATGGGAAAGCCACTGCGTCCTCAAGAGGGGAAGACTGGACAGAGGCCCAGTCTGTGCTTCGGCTAAACAGAAACATTACTCACCGATAGCATAGGCCTCCTGAGTGGGGACCAGACAGTTGATCTCTGTCCTCTTCACAGAGGGTTGCTGCTCAGGAGGGGCACCAGTTGCTGCCCTGAAGCTTAGAAGAGCCTCCGGGATATACCCTAGAGACCTCTGCTGTGCCTTGTTAATCATCTCCTGTCCTCAGCCACCTTCCTCAGTGACCCCTGCCTGGCCTTCGTGCCCCATCCTGCCTTTCCCTCAGCCACCTGGGACAGAATGTGAGCTGAGCGTCTTGTCCCCTCCACCTGCTGGCCTTCCTGCGGAGTTCTCGGCTCACACTTACCTCTCTCCAGCCCCATCTGCTGGTCCTCCTCATTTCCTTTTTTCACTTCTAACTGTGGTTGAAATAATGGCTGTCAGGCTGTGGCCTGGCTCACACTTTTTTGAAGTTGTTAGGACAGTGCTGTTCGAGCATCATTCACAGACTGTTTTACCAGTCAACCCTGTAATTAGTTAAAACCCAGATGAGAGTCATATAAAAACTGAGAATATGAAGTCATTGACAAAATCCTGATCCATAAATTTTTGTTTCACACACACAAAAAAAGTTAATGTTAAAAAAATTTTTAAAGCCTTTTGTCACATTTATCTTTAAATTGTGGTCTAAAGGAGGGAGTCCTTCTGTGCTCAGCTCCCTAGATGTGAGCCAGTTTCTCTTCCTCCTGAGACAGATGCCCGCCCGCATGGAAGAGATGGGCTCATCTGACAACTGGTTTTGTAGATGTGATGTCTCCCAGGGCTACGGCCAGTCCTTCCTTCTCCAGCAGGAACAGGAGTGAAGCGGGGGCTGCAGTTCTGGAAGGAACGGCTCTGGCTTGGTTGCAGTTGTATTACCATTTCCCGGGTTACAGAGTTAACTTCTCCTCCGTCACTGTTTAGGTTGGAGATTACGGCCCAATGTGGGTTTATCCTACCTCTACTTTTGACTGCGTGGTAGCAGATCCCCGGAAAGGTTCCAAAATGTACGGTCTGAAGAGCTACATTGAGTACCAGCTAACTCCCACCGTGAGTACCCGCTCTAAAGGAAGCTGCTGCAGCCGCCGTTTCCCCAGCTCAGTGCTTGGTATTGGTAACGAAGGCCTTTTCCTTTTCCCCTTATTTTGCAGAACACTAATCGATCTGTAAACCACAGATATAAGCACTTTGACTGGCTGTATGAGCGTCTCCTAGTCAAGTTTGGGTCTGCCATTCCGATCCCTTCTCTTCCAGACAAGCAGGTGACAGGTGAGTGTAAGCAATGCTGTTCAAAATGGCAGGTGGAGAGCTGACTAGGTTGTCCTCCTGATGTGCAAGAGGCAGGTGGTCACTAATGTCTCAGAAGAGTCTGTACACAAATGTGGAAGTTACCTGAGCATCTAATAGAAATTTCTGGCAAACTTTGCTATCAGAGAGCTTGTGTATACACCTTGAGTCCTAGAAAAGGCATTGTCTTTCTTTCCTTCTACCAAAAATAGTACATTTTTTTAAGTGTGAGAAATGGAACCTCAGAAAATAGAAGTCATCTGAGTGACCTAAAATGCAAACAAAGCTTGAGAACCAGATGACAGGAGGTGGGCTCTGCCACCCTGCTGTTTTGTGTGTGGAGAAGGCAGAGCTTCTGGTTGCTCATGAAGAAGGAAGAATTCACCATCACTCATTCGTACCCTCTCCTCTGTCCTGTGTATTCCAAAGTGTCACTTTGTTCCACTTGTTGGGCCCCTGAGACCTTGTGGCAAGTGAGGTCTGGTTGAGACTATCTCGGCAGTGCAGAACGGGCGCTGCTCTGGCAGAGGCCCAGCTGCCGTTTCTAGCACTTGTGATGGGCACTTACAATTGCCTGCAACTCCAGCTGCAGCCTCCACCAGCATCTGCACGCATGTGTGCATACCTACACACACACACACACACACACACACACGCACGCACGCACGCACGCACGCACGCACGCACGCGCACTTGAAAATAATAAAAATATCTTTTAAAAATGAAAATCTCTGCTGAGTAATCCACATGCTCCCAGATCTCCTGTACATCTGGTCAGAAAGGGTTTGCCTCTGTCCTTAGAAACTGACGTCTGAGATGTGAGTCTCCTCTAGTGTGGGACCGGGGATAAGTGCTTGAGGCTCCGTGAGCGTGACTTAGAACACAGGGTTTCTAAAGAGGCTGACCTTCCCCAAACTAAGAGTTTCAATAGATAGAAACTGTTCACGTGACAAAAGCGGTCCGTGTAGAAGAAGGAATGGACAGAGGGCCAGAGTGAGGCTTAGCCAGATTTAGAGGGGCCTGGGAGAGGAGAGAGGGATTGGGGGAAGCAAGGCCCTTCCCAAAGAGAAGGCAAAGAAGGCTTAACCCTCAGTAAGAGTTGAGGAACTCAGGGAGGGACCACAGACCATCTTAGCCCACCGATGGCAGTGCCTGGGTGAGACTTGAGCATTGCAGGCACCCTGTCCCGGGTGGGGGTCAGTCCCTGTGCCCTGGGACACTCCCTGAGTCCTGCTTTCTCTCTGCCTACGGGTAGACACTTTCCTCTTCATGGTACAGGGAGGGAAACAGACCCCAGCATCAGACAGGCTCTTCTCTCCTGCTAAGCAGGGAGTTTGTGTTTGATCCTCAAGTTTCCTATGTCTGTGTTACGGGATTGAACCAGTTAATCTTTAGCCAGAATTATTATCTTCAAGATAAGCAAGTCGTTTTCCTTCAAGTTGTGTATTTTATTTCATTTTCTGTTTACATTCCTCTGGAGGTGTTTGTATTTTCTTTTTGTTGTTTTATTTTGTGGAGATGAAATTTTTAGTTTTTAAAGTTGTTTGGGCTTGGATTATTTTGTTTTGGAAACTTCAAAAACTTGACATTGTTGAAGTGGGATGGAGAGTGCTGCTCTGCCCAGCAGTCACTGCAGTGTTTCCATAGTGATGCTGCAGCGTTTCCATAGTGATGCTGCAGTGTTTCCATAGTGGTGCTGCAGTGTTTCCATAGAGATGCTGCAGGGTTTCCATAGTGATGCTGCAGTGTTTCCATAGTGATGCTGCAGGGTTTCCATAGTGATGTTGCAGTGTTTCCATAGTGATGCTGCAGCGTTTCCATAGTGATGCTGCAGTGTTTCCATAGGGCTGGTGCCAGGGAATGGATCCCAGGGTGCTGGAGACCATAGCTTCCTTCCACTCAGAGTGTCAACATACCCACAAACTGCTCCACAACCCATTCAGATCACATTCCCTGTCCTCCTAGTCATCCTTTTTGCTGTAAATCAGAGCTTTCTTTTTAAAACAGTAGATTTGTTTCCAGTTCCTTTTTCATGTTATAAATTTCAGTCTGTGCCCTTGAATTTTATACTCTACTTTTACCCAATAGATTGGAATAGCATATGCTTCGTGGTTTTTAAATGCACAAGCCGAGGTTTTCAGCCAAGTAACTCATTGTTGATTTAAAGCATCATAGAGTTCTCAGTCTTCCACACTAAGGTCTGTCTTTTAAACGTGAGGGGAGTGCAGGCATGCAGCCAGGGGCAGGCACAGCACAGCAGTCAGCGCCTCAGTCTGAAGAAAGTCAGGCTTTGACCGCTCTCTGGAGGCGTGCCGAGGACACCGTGAGGCACAGATCAGCCTTATTCCCCTGTCTCCTGCCTGTGGTACCCCACAGGATCAGTGCTGTCTGTAGATGCCCCTCACTGAAATCCTAGACAAAAGGAAGAGGAAGTCTGGGAGATGATATCATGATGCTTGTCCACGGAAGTTCATAGGTGACATATTCTGTTTGCAGATTTCATTCTTTGTGAAAACAGGACAGAATCAAGCAGGTTGTATTTGGGGATTCCAAACGATTATTTTCACACTCTTAGTGAAAACTTAGGTAAGGTTTATGGAAAATGGATAAACTTAAGTCCCTGCTGCCCCCTTGGTTACAAGTCTCTGGGACCTGGTAAAAATAGCTAGTAAGCATAAAATATCATGCAGAGTCCTAGTTGAACCAACTGTGTCTGAAGGATTTTCACAGGAGGATTATTAAATAAAAATGATCGAATTTCAATCACTGACTTAAATTCTAGCGCTGGTTCCTTTGCTTGAGGAGGAGTTCAGGGCATCCCAGTATGTGCACCTGCCAGGTCCTTCTGTCAGTGAAGGAGCCGCCATCTCTCCCAAGGCTGAGACCAAGTCCCAAACCATTAAGCTTGAGTAGTACATGCTCTGCGCTCCTACTGAGTGTGCAGAGGGAGTGCTCTTACATGAGAGGCTTTGGGTGAGACCGTGGTGTTCACGGGCCACTTTAGGTGTGCACACTCTTGGTAGATGGTCCATCTCACTGGAAGATTTCTCACATGCGCACTCCTCTGAAGGAAGAAAGTTGAGGCTCATTTCCTGACTACATGCAGTAAGGTCGTTCTTTGGTGTGCTCATGTTAGAGTCCTGGGCCAGCTCTGTGTTTGTTACACAGGGCAGTTCTGTTGCCTCCCGAAACTCCACGGGGCTCAGCGTTGATTTCCTCCAGTCCTGTCCTTGACAATAATCAGTCAGTTCTTTGTTGCTGTAATTCTGCCTGATGGTGGTGGCACACGCCTTTATTCCCAGCACTTGAGAGGCAGAGGCAGGCGGATCTCTGTGAGTTCGAGGCCAGCCTGGTCTACAGAGTGAGTTCTAGGACAACCAGAACTGTTACACAGAGAAATCTTGCCCCCCCCCCAAAAAAAACCACTAAATTAGTGATTTTGCCTTTTCTAGAATACATCGTGAGTAGAAACAGTGCAGCTAAGATTAATGCTTTTGTTGGAACAGTAATTTTCCTTTATTGCTGTTATTAAATGTGCGGATACACTGTAATTCTTTATCCTTTCATTCACTGAAAGACATTTAAACTAGTTGGAGGTAATTGTAACATTACCAATATAGATACTTTGTTCCAATTTCTTATTGTTATGGAGACAGGAGCTCACTGTATAGCTCAGGCTGGCCTGAAATGCATTACATAACCCAGGTTGGCCTCAAAGTGTTGTACTCTTGCCTCAGCTCACCAGTACTGTCAGTTTAGACACATTATGACATGCAGACTAGCAAACAGATTTTTATATGAATCTGAACAAATTTTCTTTGGGGTAAATTCCCATCATGAACAGATAGATCAGTTGGTTTGCATTGTGCTTATGAATTTGTCAGACTGGCTGTATGATTTTGGAATCCATATCAGTGATATATGAAAATGCCCATGAGTCCACATCTTTACTCACACTAGGTAATGTCAGTTTTTCATTGATTTTGCTGAGCAGTTTTGTAGGCATATAGTGGTAGATTTTGTTTTGGATTTCATTCCGTACTGATGGGTTGTGTAGAGTATCTTTTCATGCACTTATTCCTATCCATGTGTCATTTGGTGAAGTGTCTGTTCAAAACTTTGCCTGTTTTTTTTTTGTTTTAACAATTTTTGCTCGTCTGTTTTTTATTGCCGAATTTGTTCTGTATGGTTCTAAAAGCAGCCCTCCATTGGGTGTGTGACTTGCACATGATTGCTCCAACAACAGCCTGCCTCTTTGTTCTCTAGACAGTGGGTAGCAAAAGCCTTTCATTTGAAGACATCCGGTGTCTTGCAATGACAGATAGCGGAAAGAAACAGTTACATTCAAGGGGGACGGCTAATTTGGGCTCACGTGGTAGCGGTTTCATTGTGCCTGAGCAGAGCAGAGCGGAGAATGGAGAGAGGGGACACTTCCGGGAACCCACGGCACCCAACTGAGCCGAGCCTCCTAAAGCCCCACAAGCCAGGAGGTCAGCTTCGAACAGCAGCCAGTGCCTGCGAGAGATATCTCATCAAACCTTAGCATCTAGCACGTCAGGCCGTTAGGAATTGTGCTTCTAGGGCTGTATCTGAAACCTCTTTGTCTGACCTCAGTTCGTGATAGGTGTTCTAGGAGCGGGGTAGTGTGAGGTTCTGCAGGAGTGTCGGACGTGTCGGGGTTGACTGTCGTGAGCTCCCTCGTTTACACTCGATGCCCAGAGAGACTCCTTTCCTCAGTACAGCGCGTCTGCCTTGTACAGATGCACATGACCGTCGGTGTGGTTCGTTTCTGGACTCGTTTGCTCTCTGTTCAGACACGGTCCCCGACTGATGTCACTAAAGCAGAGAGTGCCCATCCTCAGACTGACCCTCTTTGTAATGTCTGTCTCTTTATGGGCATGGCTGTTTTCCTATATCCACACATGCCTCGTGCCCATAGAGTCTAGAAGAGGGCATTGAATTTCCTGGAGCTGGAATCACAGATGGTTGTGAACCATCATGTGGGTTCGAACCCAGGTCCTGTGGAAGAGCACCCAGTGCCCTTAGCCCCCGAGCCACCTCTCGGCCCCCTCCGCCTGTAGTTTTGAAGGGTAGGTTGCTGGTGACGGGCTCCTCAGCTGCTAATTTTCCATGCTGCATAGCCAGCGTCTTCCCATTGCCTTGTGTCCTGCATTGTCCACACGACGAAGTCAGCCCTTAATTCTGCTTTCTTCCCACACGCGCCAGCCTGGCTGCCGTCGACACTGGGTTTTGTTTCTTCTCAGCAGTCTGGCTCTGCTGCCTCGAAGGGGGAAGCTCTTTGACTCACGGTCCTGTCTCCGCCATCCTGCCTTCCTGTTGATTGCTGGTGGGAGTGAGTCCTTGTCCAGTTCCTGCACTGTCCACTCGAGGCACTCCATTCGGTCTTCCTGTGATTCTGTCCCCTTTACGGTCTCTGGTTGTTGATTACTGTCATGTTGCCCTTCAATTTTTCTAACAGTTCTTTGAATATAGTTACAGAACTGCTTTGATTTTTGTCAGCAAAATTCAACATCTAATAATAATAGTAATAATAATAATAATTTCTGCTGCCTTTTTTTCCTTCAATACAGATCCAATCTTGCTTCTTGTTGGCCAAGCTCTAGTTAGATGGTGTTTGTTTGTCTGTTGATTGATTTTTGTTTTTAAATGAACATTGGCCCTTGCTGAGAGTCTGTTTTAGCAGCTCTGAGTTCTGCTGTTGCCTCCCCGAAGGTTGCTGTTTCTATTTTGTTTGCATAAGGAACTGGCCTTATGGAGTCTCCGACTCGCAGACCGCTAGCTCCCTTGCAGCTCAGGTGTTTCATGTTTGTATGGTAAGACTGGGGTCCTAAGGTAAGACTGGCCTCCACGTAGACTGGCAGGAAGCCTGGGGTTGATCGGACAGAGCCCGTGCCAATGTGGTTTCTTTCCTCTCTTGATGTAACTATAAATAGAAGGCATCAAAGCTTAGTCACTTCAAGGCATCTCCAGCCTTTATTTCTCCTGGTCCTTTGTTTTGTTCTCGTTGTTTGGGGGTAGTATTTGTTTGTTTCTGGAAACAGGGTCTTAGTGGGTTGCCCGTGCTTGCCCCAAGCTTCTGGCCTCAGATAATCCTGCTGCCTTAACCTACCGTGCAGCTGGGACTGCACTGTGCCTCGCTTCCCCCTAGACCCTGCTCTGTCTCCCTTGCATGTGAACAGTCTGGTGGTTTGGCCGGAGCATGTGACTTAGACACCATCTGGTCGGCACTGTTTTGCACAGCTTCATCCTAGAATGTGCTTGGTCCTGCCATCTTCGCTAAACATGGCCACTTGCTCACCTCTTCACCTCTGTGGTTGACCGGCGAGAATGAGCGTATCCCCCTTGCTCCAAATCCAGTGAGCCGCCTCCTGTGGCGAGGACGCTGCAGCCGATCTCCACGGCCTGCTTTGCCAGGCGTGTCCTCTGAGGAGTGGGGGGTCCGCTGCAGCAGAGATGGGGCAGCCCTAGAATGCCACGAGTTCTTCTGTTCTTGGTGGAAGACACTTGTCGGGCTGCTGCTTGTCCTCACTGATCTCCAGAGCAGCCTGTGGCTATATCGTCACCATTGAACAGCTTCACTTTGATTCTTGGGGATAGGCTTGCGTGAGCTCCTCACCTGCTGGGTCGGAGGCTCCACTGGTACTTTCTCAGGTGACAGACACTGAGCTTGTTTTCCAAGAGCCTGAGTTCTCTGCTCATTTGGTGTTGGCTGTGCCATGCTCGCCAAACTCTCTACTTTAAATCAGGAACAGTTGCTCGCTAAGTGTCACATTAGCATGGCCGTTAGCTCTAGGGTAGGTACGGTCAGGGGACAATTGTCTTTGCCACTAAACAAGACAAAGTAGAAGGGTGGGAGGATGGCTCCCTGGTCGAGAGCACTCGCTGCCTTTGCGGAGGACCTGGGTTCAGTTCCCAGCATGTAGACGGCGGTTCACAACTGCCTGTAAACTCCAGTTCCAAGAGGTCTGACATCTTCTTCTGGCATCCTTGGGCACCAGGGCACATGTGGTACATAGACATATATGCAGGCAAATGTTCACACACATAAAAATTAAAAGGGAGAGAGAGAACAAAGTTACAGCCCCAGGGTACACGTGTACCCCTACTACACCCCACCTCACCCCAGTGTGTGTGTGTTTGAGGATTATTTAATTTTTAGGTAAGATTTTTCTGGGTAACCCCCTAGAAGCCTCCCACGTGTTGGATTTCAGATGTGCCTTGTGGCTACAGGGCTACTTTACTTAAGAACTAAGAACCAGTGTCTAATACTTAATGCACTTGAATATTACATCACAGCTAGACATGTTTTATAACTATTATAGTCTCCTTTATTTTATAAGAACTGCATACGCCTTTAATCCCAGCACTCAGGAGGCAGAGGCAGGCAGATCTCTGTGAGTTCAAGGCCAGCCTGGACTACAGAGCAAGATCCAAGAAAGGTGCAAAGCTACACAGAGAAACCCTGTCTCGAAACAAACAAACAAACAAAAACAAACAAACAGAACTGCATAGTGACTTCCACTCACCACTTTATTGCCTCTAAAGCTTCATGTGCCTGCCCAGAAACTGACCTAAAGATTGTTTACAAGCTAGAGAGGGTTTTCCACTGTGAGATTTTTTTGTAACATCTTTGCAGCTAACATGGATGTTAGTCTTGCCAACATTAAAGTATTTGTTAATGTGTTAGATTGGAATTTCATTCTTTTACAAAATTTATTTATTCGTTTATTTATTATTGTGTGTATGTGTGTGCCTGAGTACATGTATGTGCACCATGTGCATGCAGGAGCCCACGAGAGGCACTGGACCCCCTGGAACTGCCCCTGGAGGTCAGAAGAATCAGATGGCTGGAGTTATAGGTGGCTGTGAGCCACCATGTAGGTGCTGGGAATTGAACTGGGGTCCTCTAAAAGAGCAGCCCCTGGAACTTCATTCTTCAGAACTAAAGAGTCAGGGCTGGGGAGATGGCTCAGTGGGTAAGAACGGTTTCTGTGCAAGCACATGAGCGCCACTCTCCAGCACTCACATAAAAAGCCAGGCGTGGACACATGTGTGCTGTAACCCAGCACTGTAGGGGTGGAGACAGGACAGTGGCTGAGGTGTGCAGGCTGTAAACCGAGCTCTAGGTTAGTGGAAGAGCTTGTCTCAAAGGAATAAGACAGAGTGATGGGACAAGACCCTCAGCATCCTCCTTTGCCTCTGTACACCCACCCCTGGACACATGCACCCTTGCACACACACACACACACACACACACTCACACTCCATATACCATACATAAACGCTGTAGTCACCCACATACACACATCCTTCTTGTGAATTTCTGAGCCTTTTACAAATAGCTTTCCGCCAAATATCCAGTTGTCACAGGAGCTACGGGATAATTCTCTTTAGAAGGAGTTGTGTGTCACTCTGAGTGTGTCTCTTCTAGGTCGCTTTGAGGAGGAATTTATCAAGATGCGCATGGAGCGGCTCCAGGCCTGGATGACGAGGATGTGCCGGCACCCGGTGGTGTCGGAGAGTGAAGTTTTCCAACAGTTCCTGAACTTCCGGGATGAGAAGGCAGGTGTAGCCTCGCGCTGAGGTCACAGGGAAAGGGGTGCTGGCACATTCCCAGTGAATTTACATCTGAAAGCAGCCAAAACAGTGTTGGTCTTTGTCAGTCCTACCCCCAAAACAAGGAGGGACGGACAGCTAAATCCGTGCATGGGAAGTGTGTTATGCAGTGTGAATGCTGTGCCCGTCAGCAGGCCCTGTCCACTGGAGAAGTCGGCCCCAGTGGATGGCCACAGAGGAAGATGCCTAGGTGTGACGTTTTCCCAGAGTGCTCTTTAAAGGGGCCTGGAGCTCGGGGAGAGCACTTCGTGCACAAGCATGAGGGCCTGGATTCAGATCCCCGACCCCCGCATGTGCACCCCGTGACTCCAGCAGTGTGAGGTGTGGAAACGGGATCCTAATTCCAGGGTCAGCGAGAGACGGTCTCAGAGGGAAAAGGTGGAAGGTGGTAGAGCAGGACACCCAAGGCCCTCCTCTGGCCTCTCACATGCGTGCTGGCACATGTGCACACACACACACACACACACACACACACACACACACGCACGCACGCACGCACGCACACACGCACGCACGCGCGCGCGTAGGAAGAATATACCCAAAATATGGGCCTAAAAGGGTCATCTGAGTCTTTGGGTTCCCAGTGCCTCAGCACCATGTAGGAAAGTAGAATTACAGATTGATCGTTCATCCCAGAGCCAAGTCCTCTTCCAGTAGTAGAGGCCCTGAGTCCAGAGTAAATGCTGGCCCTGCCTGCTCCAGGCGTTTACTCTGCCAGTGGTTATCTGTTTCCTGTGAAACCCAAGACGAAGCTGCCTTCCTGGAACCTCCCCGTTAGCTTTGGGAGTGACCATCTTTTGAAAAGCTTGTATGTGTTCCTCCATGTTCCTCACTGTATTGTTTAGTCTCCAAAGACGTTTTCTCTGTAATTTTACAGAGAACAAATGTTGCAGATTTCATAAAACACTGAAGAGTGAAAGCATAGGCCAGTTCAGAAGCAACAGCAAATGCTAAATATAGTATGACCCAGGGAAAAATGTTACCAAGTTATTTTTGTCTTTAATCAACCCACAGAATACCTTATCCCCCAGTGGAACCTTCAGAGAGAGATGTCCTTGCTAAACTTCGTAGTGGTTTTGCCTTGGAGAAGTGATGCCTGTACAAAATGGGTTAAACATCCGGGCTCTGTCTGCATGCTAAGTACACCTGACAGAGAATAGCTGTCCGGGCCTTGTGTTCAGTGATTGCCTCTTTCTGAACTTGGTAGGCATGGTTGGTGTAGTGTCTGCACCAGGTGGGGACATCATACACTCAGGCCCTTCAGCTGCCCTTGTGAGGCGTGTCTGTCAGTCAGTAGCAAGCCTTGCAGGCCGCTGTAGCCAACCCTGGTTTTCCTGGTGCGAAGGGCTACAGTGTGTGAATCCCTGGAGAGGCAGAGCTATGAGACGATGCTCTTAGCACTTGTGAGTACCACTTCTAGGTGCTGAAACTGCACAGAGCCCTCCCAGGTTGTTGTCAGTGGTTGCCCCTAGGATTTCAGAGTCTCGTTGTATTGATTTGTCAGGGGTTTAGAAAGCACTAAAAAAGGTCATATTGTACGCATAGTGTGCATAAAAAGAAGGAGACATCTTAGACATTGGTTGTTTGGTTTTCCATGAAGCTGCCTTCTAGGTTGTTGCTGTGGGCCTGGAAAGCATTATTATTGTTAGACCAGTTTCCTCACCAGCCAGAGACGTTGTAGAACTAGAGAGCAGTGTAATGCTCTGCCTACTAGTAGCCAACATAATGGTGAACAGAGAAAACCCCTGAGACTACCTAGAATTGCTCGAAATAAGTGGTTATCCAGGAGCTGGATAAAGTTGTTGCATTTTTATTATCAAATCATTAAGTGAAAAAAAAACCTATCAATTTCAAAATTATCAAATATTTAGAAATAAATACAAGAAAATACATAAAAAAAAAAACTAGCTGTAAAACTATGAAAAATTGACAGAGGAAAAAAAGGGCCTAGTTAAGATGTCATGTGTGAAAAACCAAAGGGAAAGAGTAGCTGAGAATCCTAACCGCCTGAAACCCAGAACAGACACACACACACACACACACACACACACACACACACACACACACACACACACACACACACTAAATAAGCCAGGCCTGGTGACAGGCTCCTGTAATCACAGAGCCGAGGAAACAGGGAAAGTGGAGGTCACTGGCCAGCCAGCCTCACCCATCTACAAGCCCCAGGTCTCAGTAGGAGACACTATTTCAAAAATGAAGGTCCGTGGATCTGATGCACTCTTACTCAGCAGGCACTGTACATGGTGCATGTACATGCATACAACATGAAAAATTCATCTTTTTTGAGAGAGTTACCACAGTTAATCTGTCAGCCTCCCAGAGGGTATCTATAGTCTGTTTAGGTTGGAAGCCATTGCAGAAGGAATGCAGCTGAGTCTGTTCACTCACAGCCCGGTGATGCGGTTTAGGAGGCATCTGTCTGGTGCTGAGGATGTGGGATGGACGAGTCTTCCTGAAAAGAGGAGGCAGGGATCCAGTCCCTCAGCTGCTTCTGCTCAGGGATTTGGAGGAACATGTCAGCCCTGCTGGCCGCTGTAACGCTCTCGTGTCCTTACAGGAATGGAAAACTGGAAAGAGGAAGGCTGAGAAAGACGAGCTGGTGGGAGTCATGATATTCTCCACAATGGAACCGGAGGCTCCTGACTTGGACTTGACGGAAATGTAAGAGCCTCTGCCTGACTTCCCTGGGCTCACGGCCTAGGCCAGGGCTGCAGCAGCTGTAACACTCATCTTCAGAAAGGACTGTCTAGCCCATGGGGTTTGCAGTCACATGGCGTCCACGGAAGTCCCGTCCCAGCAGGTGAAGCGCTGCTTCCCTGGGGTCTGCTTCATTGTTGGCGTCATGTTCGTTATTTTGGTAACGTCTGATGAGGCAAGGTGGCAGTAACCACCCCCCTCCTCGGAGTGCCCAGCCGAGCTGCCATCGCTGTGTGCAGTGCTTGGGATCCAACCCGTGGCCTCGAGCAGTCCGGGTTTTGTGTTTGTCTCTGACGTTGCTGACGTGACTGATGCTGTCTGTGTTCCCAGAGAACAGAAGTGTGATGCTGTGGGCAAGTTCACCAAGGCCATGGATGACGGCGTGAAGGAGCTGCTCACGGTGGGCCAGGAGCACTGGAAACGCTGCACGGGCCGTAAGTGCCACCCCGCCCCGCCCCCACTCCCGAGGACCTGTCCACGCGAGGGCCACTGAGCCGCACAGCGCCCCTCTCCACCCCTGCCCTGCCGCCCCCACTCCCGAGGACCTGTCCACGCGAGGGCCACTGAGCGGCACAGCGCCCCTCTCCACCCCTGCCCTGCCCCCACTTCTCCACGCCAGTTAAAACCAGAAAGTTGAGCATGGCAGAGGTAGCTCTAGAAATGTCATAAAACAAAACACCATACTAACTTGAGTTTCAGGTTGGGTCTTTGAGTTTTGTAATCTCAGGAAAATTAATCTTTCTAGAGTAATTAATTAAAATTAATTCTAGAGAGTAATTAATTAAAATTAAAGCAAAGCAAATTTTAATTGAAAGGGTTTGACCCCTTCAAGTGATTTGCTTACAAGTATGTGACACCAGGTGACAGGAGGCCCAGCTCATGACTTCCTTTCAGTCTTTTTGTGCCTGTTCTAGGATGTGGTGTATTTGAGTAAAGCCATAGTTTTTAGGAAATAGCCTACATATTTGGTAGAAAATATGATAGATATTAATATATACACACATACACACACACACACACACACACACACATACACTAAAATATAACAGACTAGGCCACTTCAGAGGGACCTGGTACATTAGCCGTGGCTCTGCTCACTCTTGCTGGGATTAAGATTTCTCTCTTCCTGTCCTTTGTGTGGACTGTTATGCTGCTGAGCCTTTGTTCCTGTGTCCCCTGAGTTGTGTAGCTGTGGTGTCCCAGGATGGAGTAGTGAAGCGTGCAGAGACACCATCCTCTGTGAATGAAGGCTTAGGAAAGGCGTGTGGGGCAGAGCAGGTCCCCTGCACACGGGAGCCCCGGGGCTCGGTCCCTAGCACTGACTCAGAAGAAAATACAAACAAAGACTTGAACTTGAAAAGTGATGAGTTATAGTTGCACCTTTGCAGAAGGCCGTCCTAGCAAACCTTTAAATGGATGTGGTTTCCGATAGGTTTAGATCCCTGTTGTCTGACGGCTGGAAGTTCTGTGCTGTACATAACCCAAAAACCGCACTTATTAGCAAGGACTGACCCAAGACTGTTCAAGCTTCTAATCTAGATCCCTGTTGTCTGACGGCTGGAAGTTCTGTGCTGTACATAACCCAAAAACCGCACTTATTAGCAAGGACTGACCCAAGACTGTTCAAGCTTCTAATCTGTACAGTGAAAACTGTGTGCGGTAAATAGCACGAATGTCTTTAACCACAGAAGCAGGCAGTCAGAGATGAGAGTAAACGTGGCACTGACGTTTCCCAGCCCAAGGTCAAGCAGTGGTTTCCTTCGAAGGCCACAGATGCCCCCCAGGGGGTCTGTGCACATCCGTGGATGGCCTCAGGATTTCTGTAGATTCTCCGGGTGGTCCTCGGGATGAGTTCGCGGTCCTCCCGTCCCGTAGGTGAGACTGCACACACCCTCCTCCTGATCCTTCGTTACCACAGTTAGCCGTATTTGCCAACCTTCCGTATGGAGATGGTGACTCTGGTATCCAGGGTCACTGTGATGAGGTCACATGCACATGAGGGGGCTTTGCGCTCTTTCCCTGGGCTCTGTCCAGGGAATGAGTGTGGGCATGGGTTGTTCATTATAGTACCCACTGCTAATTGAGCAATCAGCTAAAAATGATAGTTAATTAAAGAAGTCATCAGTTGAAAAATCATTTCATCAGTATTTCATTAATAGGCGCTATTTCAGTCATTTTGAATGTCTTCTGTATGAGTCACAGTCAACTGTGGGATCCATTTCAGACTGCTCAGAGGACTGATGAGTTTATCGATTCTTTTCTAGCCTTACCCAAGGAGTATCAGAAGATCGGGAAGGCTTTGCAGAGTCTAGCAACAGTGTTTAGCTCCAGCGGTTACCAAGGTAACGTCTGTATTTGTTTATAGTTTCCCTTGTTGGTAAGTGTGTAATCACTGTCCGCATCCTGAATTACTTCAGTACCTTTATGCTTCGTGTGGTGAACCTCAGGGTAAGGGGTGTTTCTCAGCTTAGGATTTCTTTAACTCTGAGGCCCTGACACTCTTCTCTTGTGGATCCCATAAGGTGTACAGTGGGTTCTGGTGAACTGGTCACCGTGAGTGTTTCAGAGCGCTGCACCCCACATCTCCTGGGCACAGCGGCGTGGGGCCACTCACCCGAAAGCACAGGGAGCTGCCTGTTTTCTGTGCTGTCCTCACTGTCGGCGTGCGACAGGGGATTCATATTGCGTGTGGCACTCTGGCAGGTGTCGAAAGTGCTTGGTATATTTTATGTTGACTATCCTTCACTTTCCTAAAGCCTCTGTTTTTAAGGAGCCATTTGAGATTGGCTCCTTCAGATTGGCATCTGCTTCAGGAAAGTGTGGGCCAGTGTTAGCACTGTCAGAGCAGTGTTGTGCCGTTGGTTCTTGGTCGTGTAGGTGAGCGTGATTCCCAAGGCTGTCTTAATTACACCAGATAAATCTCTCACTGCATCCACGGCAGAGTGGCTAGTAACAGTAGAATGACGTAAGAATTGCTGGCATGGCCCCTGCCGTGAAGTACTCTGTAGTCTTGGGGACTCTCCTGTGGAAATGTTTTGTGAGGAAATCGTGAGACCTACAGACAGCTCCTACGTCCAGGAGCAAAGCCTGTCTCCCCGCACTCTGCCTCCAGACGACTCGGGTGCCTCCCATGCCCATTTGAGGGCCTTCCCCGGGCAAAGGGAGGGAACTGGACACTAGAGAAAACACTAATTCCATGGAATGAAGCACAGCACACGTTTGTACACCCAGAGTTACTCAATTACTTCTAACTTAATCCCAGTTACCTTGGGGACAGTGGGCTCTGTCTGTGGTTCTGAAACTGTAAGGAAGGACCTGAGCAATTCAGAGTACCCCAATGGTAAGCAAAGGCTTGACAAGAAAGGCTTCTCCCCACCGAAGCTGAGTACCACAGAATAAACACGGGGTGAAAGGGAACGGCGCAGGTTTGCCAGCGACGGTCACATTTGCCTCTGGAGTATGAAAACTAGAATTAACCAGACACTGATTCCGGATCTGGTTAAGCCTCTGGACCTCGTGGCCAGTGTGAGGACAAGGTAGGGACAGAAGAATGTGTGTTGACACGAGATTCAGTCTAGCATGTACCAAAGGGCATGACTCATGTTCCTTAACACCCCACAAAAAGTTTTCAAAAAAGAAAGGGCTGAGAAGAGCACCGAGTGAAGAAATACGCCTTCCTGTCCTGGGTGTGCACCGTCTGTGCCCCCCGGCTCACACAGGCTGCCGAAGATGCCTGCACACTTGCTCCTCCTCCTCCTCCTCCTCCTCCTCCTCCTCCGTAGCAGAGCGATGACCTTTTCCTGGGTTTGCAATCTCATGTCCTTATTTTTTAAATGTTCCTTATCTTCTAAGTGAAGTTTGCAGGTAAAAATGTTGTCTGTCCCACGAAGAGAGAAACGGAATAGAGGGTGTAAATGGAAAGGTTAATCCCTGTCTTAGTTAGGGTTTCTACTGCTCTGATAAAACGCCATGACCAAAGCAACAGGGGAGGAAAGGGTTGTTTCAGCTTACACATTATCATGGAAGTCCATTATCCAGCCAAGTCAGGGCAGGAACTCAAGGCAGAAACCGTTGCAGACCCCATGGAGGAACTCGGTCTACTGGCTTTTCCTCATAGCTTGCCTGCCTCCTGTCTTATAGAACCCAGGACCACCAGGGTAGGGGTGGCACCACCCACCATGGGCTGGGCTCTCCCACATTAGTTATTATTAAGGAAAATGCACCATAGGCCAATCTGGTAGGGACAGGTCATCCATTGAGGTTTCTTCTTCCACTAACTCTGTGTCTTACATCAAGCTGACTTTAAAAACTAGCCAGCACAGCCACCGTCGGCCGCCTGGGAACCAAGGATGAGGATGGAGATGGGGATCTAGGAAGTTGTTCTCGCCAATCTGACCGTGTTTGAACTTTCTAAACTAAGGGCCATCAGTAAAGTGTGTCAAAACCCGTGAGTACAGAGAAAATATTAGTGACCCCAGTCGCTTACAAGACTGCAACCCATTTCAGGTGAGACAGATCTGAACGATGCGATAACAGAAGCCGGGAAGACGTACGAGGAGATCGCCAGCCTGGTGGCCGAGCAGGTACTGCCGTAATCACACTTTCCAACCCATATTTCTCACTTAGATACAGGTAGATTCTCTTTTCTGCTTCTGTGGGGCTTTGTTAATTTTATTTAGTGATAATACCTTTTTCAGCTAAGCCAAAGTGGACAGATGTCCCATTAAGAAATCCAAGTGAAGCCAGGTGTGGTAGCTCACACCCAAAATACCAGAACTTGGGAGGCTGGAATAAGGGATAGCCTTGAGTTCAGGGCTAGCCTAGGCTATATAGTGAGTTCTAAGCTGATCTTAGTTACAGAGTAAGGTCCTTTCTCAAAAAGTCAAAAGAAAAACAAATCTAAATGAGGTTTGGGTCTGTGGCTCAGTGGTAAATGGCCTAGATTGTTCTTCAATGCTTGTGAGGCCCAGAATTTGACCCAACACCCCCCAAATAAAGATGTTGGGGGGTGTTATTGAATGCCTCCTGGCCTGGATGCCTCTGTTCCACTCTCACGATCCTGGAGTATAATGTGAGAGCCTGGCTTAGGCCCACACTACTGCCTGGTTCTAAGCACGCTCTCCTCATCTGTGTACTGCACACCTTCGGTGAGCCTCGGATTGGGTACATTTCATATTGTCTACTAAAATGTAGGCATTAAACTAGAACATTTTCACTTGTTGCAATTTGATGCTTATATTTTATTTGATTTAAAAGTGAAATAGTATCTAAAAACATACTATCAACTAAAAAAAAATCCTTGATAGTGTAATGTAAATCTCTATTTTTACAACTCAGCTTCAAAATGATTTATCACTTTCTTCACAACAGAAGAGTCAGAGTCTAGTACTGTCAAAGGGTTGTTTTCTGTTAGGAAAACTAATCCTAATGTTTAACACTGAGTATTCCAGTGTAAGGCATTCTGACCAACAGCACCTTGGGAACGGGAGGGTTTATTTGGCTCATGCTTCCAGGTCATGGTCAGTCAGGACAGGAGCCTAAGCAGAAACCATGGAGGCTCCTTGCTGGCTCACTCTGAGGCTCAGGCTTTCTTAGACACCAACAACCACCTGCCGGGGGATGGTGCTGCCCATAGTGGACTGGGCCCCATCTGTCAATCAGCGATCAGACTGTCGCAGGATATTTGATCGCACTGTGACACTCCAAGACTGTTGATGAAGTTAACCTTGAATTAAGGGGCAGAGCCAGCAACCAGCTGACCAGAATTAGCTGCAGAGAAGCCGGGAATGTGGGAAGAGAAGACAAGAAGGAAGGAAAGGGTGGGACTGGAGTGTGGTGCTTCTTTTGGTTTGGGAACAAGTGAAGAGACGTGTCTTTCACTGTGTCTCTGGCCAAAAAGCAAGTTCAGTAAACCGATTGCTTCTCCAGTTCTCTAATCCAGCAGGTTTTCACCCCAGCATCCGACTCGCGAGTCTTTGTTGGTAAAAAGACAGCAGACTTAGTTTACACCTACATATCTCTGCTGTGGCTGCGGGACCGGAAGGCCCTCCAGGCGGCGGGGTGCTGATCAGGGTGTAGTGGGACCATAGACAATAATTAAAATATCAGTAGATTTGTGTGCGGCCGGCGCCACAGACATTCCACGCACCAGTCTGGTCCAGGCGATGCTTAAATTGAGGCTCCCTCTCGACCAGTGACTCTAGGCTGTGTCGGCTCACAGACAGCAAGAGCTAAGCAGCAGGGACAAGCAGTGACGCACCCCTGCGATCCCAGCACTCGGGAGCCACAGGCAGTGGACCTCTGTGAGTTCAAGGCCAGCCTGGTCTACTTAGTGAAAGCTCGGACAGCCAGACCCTAAATAGTGAGACTATCTAAGTCAGTGGTTCTCAACCTGTGGGTCACAACCCCTGTGGGGGACGGATATTATGCATATCAGATATTTGCAATTCATAACAGTAGAAAATTACAGTTATGAAGTAGCAGCAATATAATTTTATGGCTGATGGTCACCACAGCATTCAGAACTGTTTTGTTGTTGTTGTTTTTCAAGACAGGGTTTCTCTGAGTTGTTTTGGTGCCTGTCCTGGATCTCATGCTGTAGCCCAGGTTGGCCTTGAACTCACAGAGATCCACCTGGCTCTGCCTCCCGAGTGCTGGGATTAAAGGTATGCGCCACCACCACCCAGCTCAGAACTACATTAAACGGTCTCAGTGTTAGGAGGGGTGAGAATCACTGGTCTAAATAAAGAAACAGCACTCTGAACTACTCAGTGGCAGTACACTCCTCATCAGTTTTTTCCTCCTTGATTTTTTAAATTCCTCCACCAGTAACAGCCAGCCTGTGTCTTGTTACAGCCAAAGAAGGACCTCCACTTCCTGATGGAGTGCAACCACGAATACAAAGGCTTTCTTGGCTGCTTCCCGGACATCATTGGTGCTCACAAGGTAAGGACCAGTGTTAGGAGGAGCCGCCAGGCATACAGCACTGTCAGAGTTGTTTAGATGTTACTTTTACCATGAGAAAAGAAACTAGCTGGATGTGGTGGTGCACGCCTGTGATCTCAGGAGCAGAGGCAGGCAGATCTCTGTGAGTTCAAGGCCAGCCTGGTCTATAGAGTGAGTTCCATGTCCGACAAGGCTGCAGAGTGAGACCCCATGTCAAGAAGAAGAGGAAGTAAAATGTAATCCCTCCATGAAGTTTTAAACTACAGTTAAAGATTGGCTTGATATATCTTCATGTTTTAATTCTGGGTCCTGTTTCCTCTTGGAGTCTCTGGTTCTCTTAGTGTCTTGAGCATCCTGGGGTTTGTTCGGAAAATCTCTGTGATCTTAGCCCCACTGTGTGAAGACTCTTGAAAGAACAACATACAAACAGTCTTTGTCTAGTTCAGAGAACTCAGCACGAAACTCAGGAGGGTCGCTCCTGTCAGAATTTATGCCAGCTGAGTGGATTTTAGGCACGGAGCCTAGATTACACGCAGAGGTAGAGGTTTGCCTTTGCAGACAGTCATAAATGATGCGCAGTGTGGTGGTGCTGGAGTGAGGCTCCTTCCATCTGAGAAAGAATTGAAGCTGATTCAGCACCTCTTACAAAAGACAAAGCCCGAGCTGGGCGGTGGCGCACACCTTTAATCCCAGCACTCGGGAGGTAGAGGCAGGTGGATCTCTGTGAGTTTGAGGCCAGCCTGGTCTGCAGAGTGAGATCCAGGACAGGCTCCAAAGCTACACAGAGAAACCCTGTCTCAAAAAACAAAAGACAAAGCCCTCCAGTGTGCGCGCTCAAGCACCCACTCATACAGTGCTGTTCCATAACCAGAGAGAAAGGACACGTGCTGTGTACCAGCTCCACGTACCTCCACGCGGCTTTCCACCTATGGTGCCTGTCCTCCTCTGTGGACTCTTGAAACACCAGTGGCGTAGACTCTTGCAGGACAGAGTTCTGTTTACTTCTTTTCTCCTGGTGCATAAAACCGCAGGTTGAAGCTCTTGCCTTTTTCAGGACTTTTCATTTTTCAGCCTTCGGCTCCCCACGGAGTTGGAGGACGTTGACTCAGATGCTCCCTCTGTCCTCACGGTTGCAGCAGTTTCCTGTTCAGTACCAAGTCTGTAGAATGTCAGCATTGTTGCATCTTACACTAGTACTTGTTGCTCTGTCTTCTCAAGTACTGTTGCGTTTATGTGTTTCCAGGGAGCAATAGAGAAAGTGAAAGAAAGTGATAAGCTGGTTGCAACCAGTAAAATCACCCCCCAAGACAAGCAGACGATGGTGAAGCGAGTCGGCACCATGTCTTATGCTTTACAAGGTAAGAGAAGAGGTCGTGAGTAGCCAGTGGAGAGCCACCCTCAGCCCCAGCATTAGACCTGGCTGCTGGGTAGGAACCCAAGGGTGAGCTCCAGTGAAATCCACAGCCAACCTAAAATGTCTGTCCTGCCTACAGGTAGCATTTTATTTTACAGATGGACTTGGGATAGCTATGAGTGACAGCTTGATTAAAACTGTGCATCTTATTACTTCTTGGAGACATCAAGACTCCTTTAATAAATAGCCTTTAATGTTCCATTAAATCCCAAAGTTCAGCTTCCAGAAGTCTGTAACCTCTGTGCCCCAGGACTGTGGGATCTAAAAGAGGCCTGGGGGAATCATTTTAGGCATCATTTACGGTTAGTAAAAAGAAGGCATTAGCTGAGCTCTGTGATTGGAGTATGTAAGAGCAGATGAACAGTAAGTGGCCGTCTCTGTGTTTGGTGAAGGGTGAGGCGTGTGCCTCGGCAGACTGGAGGCTCAGTAGCGTTCAGCCTGCTGGCCAGTGACAGCCATCCATTACCAGAAAGTGGCACTCGCTGCTGGTGTCTGCCTGTTCCTGGGCTCGTGATAGTCGCCCTGAGAACGTTTGCTGCATCAAAGTCGGCCAGATCCAGTCCTGTTGACTTAGCCCAGCAGAGAAATTGCATGTTGTCCTTTGAAATCTTGCTGGGCACTAATCCCCGGGACAATTCTGTTGTAGCTGAGATGAACCACTTCCACAGTAACCGGATCTACGATTACAACAGCGTCATCCGTCTCTACCTGGAGCAGCAAGTGCAATTCTATGAGACAGTAAGTGCTGCCTGCCCGGGCCCGTGCACATGTGTGAGGAGAGGTTTTCACACTTAGTGACCTTGACCAAGAGAGGTGACCGTTTGGGATCTCTACTCCTGAGTAAGAAGGGGGTTACATTTTGAACAGAGTTTGGTGGTATGGGTTTGTTTTGTTTTGTTTTTTCTGGAGCTGAGGACAGAACCCAGGGCCTTGCGCTCTACCACTGAACTAAATCCCCAACCCTTGTTTTGTTTTTTTTAATCTTTGTAAATTCCGTCTACTTCATCCCTGTGGAGCAATGTTGAGTCAGAAAGCCTTCCTGAGACTGGAGAGATGACTTAGTGGTTAAGAGCACTTGTTGCTTTTGCAGAAAACCTGGGTTCAATCCCCAGCACCCACATTGTGGTTCACAAGCATCTATAACTCCAGTTCCAGGGATCTGATGCCCTCTTCTGACCTCTGTGGCGCGGCGCCAGCCACACAAATGCCACATATGCATACATATAGGCAAAGGAGGCACATATATATAAAGGAGAACCAGTAAATCTAATGTAGGGAAAATTAAAGTTTTCCTTTGAGGAGCGGGCATTGGACACTAGTATTGAAGCCTTGAGCGGTCCTGATTGTGTGGCTTCCTTCCTTTTGAACCTTTCCATGCACAGGGACATCTAAATGACATGAGGTCACCCTGTCACCCAGAGGATCCATCCCCTTCAGTTAGGGAAGGAAACCAAAGACAGCCTTTGTTTGTGACCCAGGTTTCACAGTTACCAAAGGAGTCTCTTCAGGAAAACCAAAATAACGCAGTTTTGTAAACATTTTCATTCAGAAAACTGTAATGAAAACGTAAATCTTGCCTTCCCCTGCCTCGTGGTGTTTTCATTCAGTACAGCATCTGCACACATCTTGTCAATGGAGATGGAACTCAGACACTGCAGAGCTGCACTGTAGCTGTGGAGTGAACTGGAGGTGGCCTTGTCTCTCTCGTCCATGCTGTTGACGCTCTTTCATTCAGAGATGCTATAGGCTAGCCCTCAGCTCACATCCCTGCATGTGTCACTCTGCCAGAAGCACCTTGTGAATGCGTGAAAAGGCTGTGCTTAATGTACTCCGTGTGTAATTGTGAATTCTGGTTGGCAGCACTTGGTTTTGGGGGCACACTCATGGGATGAACTCATTCAAGAGTGTTCTCCCTCATGATGGCGGTCTGTTTCCTGTAACTGTCCACTCTGATGTCAGTTGCCGCTGTTGGGCGTTGCCTTTCCATGTGTCTTAGAATGGAGTAGGTTATGTTTGTCTCTGAGGAAATACTGCAAAGGAAGCACTTAAGGTTCTCATACTGTTGGTTTGTTAATTATCAAATATACATGTATTTTTTTAAAGATTCATTTATGATGTATACAGTGTTTTGTCTGTGTGTATGCCTGCAGGCCAGAAGAGGGCACCAGATCTCATTATAGATGGTTATGAGCCACATGTGGTTGCTAGGAATTGAACCCAGGACCTCTGGAAAAGCAACCAGTGTTCTTAACCTCTAAGCTATCTTTCCAGGCCCTACATGTATAATTATTGACCATGTATTTCTAAATAGAAAGCCATATATTTTGTCACTTTATATTAATATCGAGTCTTATAGCAAAATATCCCTTAAATTATTAAAACTTACATTTTTAAGTAAACATGCATGAGTACCTATTGTATGCTTAGCACCTACTGCACATGTTTAAGGTCCCAAGATGAATAAGGAATCTGAGCCTTCAGGGGGCACCTAGTGTCCTTATGGGAGATGCAGGCCCATAATAGATACACAGTGCACCCTGGGCTCTCACAGAGACACAGACTCTCCACATACCATGTAGCTACAGAATGGCAAGTCTTGAGTGTTCATACTTGTCCAGAAAAGAAAGGGACTCTGGGCAGGCATGGTGGCCCAAGTCATCTTCGTGCTCTTTGAAGGAGAAGGAGCAGGGCCTGGCCGTGGACCTGGATGGGCAGGTGGAGACAGGAAGCAGGGTTTCCCACACACTGTGGAAACCACTGTGAGCAGCAGGCCTGTGGTGATAAAGGTCGTCCCAATGTCTACAGAAGAGACAAACAGGCCAGCTATGTATTTGACAGGTTTATAATGTTTAACTCAGAGTTGGGCGGATAGAACACTGTGAAGTTGTAATCAGTGTGGTAATTTCTCAACTGCTCTGTTTTCTCACCAGATCGCAGAAAAGCTGAGGCAGGCCCTCGGCCGCTTCCCGGTTATGTAGACCAGGACCGAACACAGCCGAACTCCGAAGTGCTTCTTTCTGACCTGGGGCAATGCAATTCAATTTATTTCCCTATTATAAGAGACAGAGAAAAAGAAAGGAAGAAAACCAAAAAGAAATAAGTTGACAAAAACCTGTTTCTGTCATTAGCCAGCCCAAGTGAATAGTTACTTAGGGATGGCCTTCTTTGGTTCATTTTGACACGTTAGTTACCCAGTGGGAAATGTCTATTTTTGGAAAATACTTAAATTTATCAAGATTTTGAATGGAGAAATAGGGGTTCCTCCTCCTGGTATTTTACATAGAATCGTAATTTATACATTACCCATGATCTTCCAGTTCTTACCCAATGTCAAATAATTAATACTAATTGCTTTCTTAAAAATATAAGATATGCCAGAATAAAAATATATCTTTGTATATTTTTATAACTCTTTCAGTCCTTTGGGGTCCCTTGTCTGTGTAGGGAAGTGCACCCCCCCCCCACTGGCATAGCTACAGTTCAGGTGCTCACAGTGGGGGGCAGTAGAGAGGCCCCCAGATTGCCTAAACCCTCACGGTGGTGGTGGGTAGAGCAGGTGAGGAGAGCCGCCTCCTCCTGCTGCCCACCGGGTCACTCTTCCTGGGCTGGGCTCATGTGAAGTCCAGCACTGTGTGTGCTCCTTCCCAGTTCAGGGTCAGGCATGCTTTATGCCAACAGAGGAAGTGAGAAAAGGTGAGGGCTTTTTCCCGCTGCCCCAGGTGGGTAGCCACACTGCCTCCTATGCCCAGGAGCTCCTTGGGGAGGGAGCAGTCAGCCTCCTCCAGAGTGCCCACCGCTCCGCTCGCTATCCGCTCTCCGTCCCTCAGCTGTCCACCAGAGAGAGGTGCTGCTGTGCTGCTGCGGGTGGCCTCCTGGTTAGGAGCAGCAGGCTGGTCAGGATTCTCTGAAAAGATGAGCCTGGAGTTCAGCACCTCTTCCCATCCTGGAGAACGGGAAAGTTAACTGAAGTGGGCGGCAGCTTGAAGGCTGTGCGGTAGAGCGGATGGGGAGCGCAGCCTGACGGGCTGGGCTGTGTCCCACTTCAGAGGCTCCTGGTCCTGGCTGACAGCACAGAGCACACACTGTCGCCTCCTGCAGACGCGTCCCCTTCCACAGTTGCCTTACGACTTGATCCACTGCTCTCACTTTTCTGATCTGATGATTCTGTTATAGAGAATGGGAAGTCTGGGCCAGAGTCAATGAATGAAACCAAAAATAAGTAGCTGAGAAAATCCAATGAACACGAATATGAGAACTTCTTGTTCCTTGATATCACGGGTTTTTGTTAATGTTTTATAAGTAATTTTCCCCTACTTGATTTTTCTTTTATAAAATTCCATAGAACAGTGTTTATGATACAACCATTTAATATATGTACAAATTGTAAAGAATATGTATAAATATTTTACATAAATGTAAGAGCATGTAGAAGCCAATATATAAATAAATTGTTTAAAAAACTGTACAGCAAATTCCCACAGCACGTTTTCAGAATACTTTTTGGCATTTTTGTGTGGTCGAGGTTTTGTTGTTGGAAAGTGCTTTTTATTCCAGCTGCTGAAAGTTGTCTAGTGATGAAATTTCTCCAAAATATCTCTCTCCCTACATTAGTTCCTTAGCCCCATTGCTAATCCTGCAAGTATGCCACGAGTTCTGATGCCCTGTGCCCTCCTCCCAGATATCTGAAGGAGAAAAGAGCCAGGCAGATGGGAAAGGCATCTAAGAAGAGTTGATGCCAAGGGACAGGAAGAAATGGTAGCGGTCTTTGAGCTGGGGAAAGAAAAGAGTGTGAAAATCAGACCCGTTCCAGTGGAGGCTGGCACCTGGAATAGTTTCCTTCGGAGGGAAGATTTCAATGCTGCAGGGTGTGTCCTGTTCTGAGGGGTTCTTTCGTGTTGATGTCTGACTTTTAACCACATGCACCAACTTTCCGATATCCCAGAAGAGCTATCGTAACACAGTGACATAAAATCTTGATGGGCTCCAGTGATGGCTCAGCGTCAAGAGCATTGGCCGCTCTAACAGACCCAGGTTTGGTTCTCAGCACCCACCGAGTGGCTTACAGCTGTCTGTGACTCCACTTCCGGGCATCTAATCCCCTCTTCTGGCCTCTGAGGCCCCTGCATATGTATGTGGTGTACATACATATATGTATGCAGTGTACATACATACATACACACGTACACATAAAATCTTTTTTTTTTAAAGTACTGATGCTGACTATGTCAACATCGTTTACTTTTTGGAAATATGATGACTAAATTGTGGGCCAAATACTGAAAATGTAGTTTTTAGATTTACTTTATGTCTGAGTGTTTGCCCGCATGTATGTGTTTGTATCATGTGTGCCTAGTGCCCAGGGAGGCAGAAGAGAGGGTTGAGATCCCCTGGAATTGGAGTTACAGGTGATTGCTAGCCACCATGTGGGTGCTGGGAACTGAACCTGGACCTTCTGAACGAGCAATAAGAGCTCTTAGCTGACGAGCCATCTCTCCAGTCCCCAAATGCTGAAAATGTTTTGTGACCTGCAACATGCTCTCAAGTCGCTTATGATATTAGAAATAAGATTTGTGCCACGCCGGGCGGTGATGGTGCCCACCTTTAATCCCAGCACTGGGGAGGCAGGCAGATCTCTGTGAGTTCGAGGCCAGCCTGGGCTGCAGAGTGAGTTCCAGGAAAGGCGCAAAGCTACACAGAGAAACCCTGTCTCAAAAAAAACAAAAAAAACAAACAAAAAAAAAAAAAAAAAAAAGATTTGTGCCAGAACTTGACAATGGAAACTGACTTTAATAGGTCATTTAGCTTTATATTTACATGAGTTAAACATGGATCTTCAAGGTGAAATCCAGTTTACCATTCAGTGTTTCAAATTATAGCAGTATTCCAAATCAAACTGAAATTACAGCAAGCCCAAATTAAGGTAAATGATTTTATGCAACTTGATATGTTGGCTAACCGCAGTCCTGTGGACACATCAAGAAATATATAGTCTTGTTTTTCAAATTGATGCAAGAATTTGAAAATACTTGCAAATTCCTGAGAAAACAGTACTTTGGGTATATTTGCGACTCCATTTCAGTCAACATAAATGATTCCTACCATTTTTCAAATGGAATGCATAGAGCTGTGATCTGACAGTCAAACTTAAAAAATGATTAGATCTCTTTACCAGACTTTTCTAGGTCCTATCTCCCAGAGACAAGGTCTCTTGAAGATCACACCTTATGCTGGGCGGTGGTGGTATACCCCTTTAGTCCCAGCACTTAGGCAGAGGTGGGCAAATCACTGAGTTCGAGGCCAGCCAGGGCTACACAGAGAGAGACCCTGTCTCAAAAAACAAACAAGAAAACCATACCTTACTCATGGCACCACTTTTGGGCAGTGCCTAAATTTGTGAGTTATTTTCTAGAACTAAGCGTAAGTTAGAAGCAGGCCATCAGATGAACACCCTCTCACAGATAATGGAAGCCACAGCGATCAAACATTGATGCAGCAGTTTCCCAGATATGATGCCAAACAGCCCACTGGTTTATGTTACCCTCATTGACATTTGTAATTAAAAAACATCAAAGCATCAGTGGAGTTTTACTACTCAGGGATGTTCATTTTCTTTGGTAGTGATTACAGACTTGGGACCTGGTTGACAGGACTGTTTGTTCTGTGTAGCCCGTCCGGGAACTCACTCTGTAGACCAGGCTGACCTTGAACTCAGAGCTCCACCTGCCGCTGGAGTGCTGGGATTAAAGGTGTGGGCCACTGCTGCCTGGCAGTTGACAGAATTATTGGCGAGTTTGTGTTGCATATCCGTGGTGGTAGATAACATGAAATTATGGACAAACCCTTTGCTCATCAGCTTCTATTCGTGTTGGTGTATGCAATGTGTGTCCAGAGTTCGTCTTCAATTAACGTGGCTCAGAGGCGGTTTGTGTCTGGACAGCCCAGAGAATATCAAATTGGTGTTCTTGGCAGGTTTATAGCATAGGCCAAGACTCTCAGCTACACTTGGTTGTTAAGGAGCCACGGACTCCTAGTCTGTTTCTGTAACTGTCAGTTCCATTTCCTAAATGGGGAACACTTTCAGATTAGGACTTACATTCCAGCTACCCTCAAAGGGATATTTTTGTTGCTGTTTGTTTTGTTCTTGTTTTTTCAAGGCAGAGTTTCTCTGTATAGTCCTGTGTAAGCCCCTCAAGCCTCAGGAGTGGTCAAGCCCCTCCCCCAAGGACCTCCAGTATCTCCTGGTTTTCCCTCCCAATAAATCTCTTGTGTGAGGTTGTTGTGTGGTGTGACTTTGTGGTATTCCTTGACTCCTGACTGCCAGAATACCTTTCCTTTCGAGCTGTAATGCTTACATCCTGGAACACGCTCTGTAGACCAGGCTAACCTCAAACTCAGAGATCTGCCTGCCTCCCATCACCTCCCAGGCCAGAGGAGTTGTTTTTTTTTTTTATAGCAATTTCTTTTAACTTCAAAATGGGTATTTTTTATACTATGCCCATATCCTGCAGACCAAAAAGGGGTACGGACAAAAGGACATAAGGTGTAGGTAAATTCAGGGGCTTGCTGCATACATTTCTCCTCTGGGGAACGGATTTGTTTTGAATTTTTAAAGACAGTGTTGATTTCCGTGTCCAGCCAGACTTGGGTCACCAGCCGTTCCTTGTTCTTTTTCTTGGAGTGGTTTCCGTTCTCTAGTCTTCGGACAGCACAAGAGCTGAAGGGAGGCGGTGAAGGCGTGACGGATGGGTCGGCATCCTCAGCCCTCAAAGGTGGTCCTGATCAGCCAGCGCAGCAAGACTGAGGACTTTAGCATCCGCACAAGCTCAGCAGAGCAAGAAGGGAGAGGGTCCTTTTGCAGGCAGCTCACCCACCCCCGTGGCGTGGCCGGCGTGCAGCTGTGAGCGTGCATGAGGGTCCGGGGAAGAAGAAGGGCCCACAGGGAGAGAACGGTGGGTAGAAGTAGCCGCGGCGTTCATTTCTTCAAGGCGTCCGGTCCTAGCGCTCAGACGCAGGCAGCTTCTATGCAATTTCTCCCGGTAGTAAGGAGAGCAGCCGACCTGTCAAGAGGTGGGCGGGGCGCATGGGTTGTGGGCGAGGCTTGGGACAATGAGGGGCGGGGCCGCATTTTTAGGAGCTAGGGGATAAGCTACGGGCTGAGTGACAAGCATGAGGGGCGGGGCTACAGGTCTGATGGACAAGCTACCGGTCCACGGAAACTATAGGCCAATGCCGCTGCCCCCCCGAGCCTGAGGGGCGGGGCCTGGGGGCGGGGCCTGGGGGCCCCTGCGTGAGTCACTGCGTGAGTCACTGCGGGTGTAGACAGGCTGCTTCACCAGTATTCAAGGCACAGACACTTAAAACATAAATATATCTACAAACCTTGACCTAGGGGAATTTTCTAGAACAGAGTTCTGATCGTTGAGAATGAAACCTAAGAAAACACGTCTCTAGGCAGTGTTTGAGGAAGCCACTCTCTAAAAGCCGGGTCCTGTTTCTGGAGCCCAGCTGGAAGGAACGGCGTGACCTTCCTTCCTATGTGTCCCATCAACCAGCCAGGACACCCCCAGAAGCCCGAGTCCGGCAGCGCCACAGTAGAAACTAGCTCCCTCGGAAGAGGGGCGAAGCCGAGGAGGCCAGAAGGCGAGCTGGATTGTGCCAGCCTAACCGGCCTCAGTACGATCCGCAGGCAAACTGGCGAGACTCCGGACCTGTCCACCTCACCTGCCAGTCACAGGAGGAAATGAAACTATTTTTAACATGTACATCTTGCACTCTTTTAAGTGTTTTTAAATGTTCTGTGTATGGGTGTTTTAACTGTGCACCACTTGTGTGCCTGGTGCCCGTGGAGACCAGAAGAGGGCATGTTACAGTATGCACTGCCCTGTAGGTACTGGGGAGAAAAAAAAACTCATCCTGGGAAGGAGCAGCCAGAACTTCAGACCGCTGAGCCATCTCTCCAGACTCTTAAGAATTATCACTATTACATTATTCTTATGACCTGTTTAGGGAAAGGCTTTATAACTAAGTTTAGCTTTATGCTAAAAGATGAGTAGTGTACTGACCTTTGCGTGGTCTCCAGGCACTTGACCTGACTAGGGGTGGAGAGGGGACAAAGAACAGACAAACAGACAAAATAGCCGGGTTCCGGTGGACTGGGCTCTCACCGGAAGCTGCAGTACCCCCAGAAACTCATCATGTTTATTATATAGAGGTTAACAGGAAGATGGGGTTATTGTATACAGCTGAACAAGGAGGCAGGCTTTATGGTACACATCTGGAGCAAGGAGACGATGCTTCACACCTGTACCCATGCCCTCAATTAACTAATCCCTGTACGAGCAGTCTCAGTATGGGAGCAGTCTTCAATCCATAGACACGGGAGTCCGGTGTTACGGTGGACATTTTCTGCACACGCTAGATTCAATATTCACACTTGGACGCAGGGAAAGCGTTGCAGTTTTCCCATGGGAAAGAGCCTGTTGGGTTCTTGACATGGGTATGCTCATGTCAACAGCACACATTCATTCACTCAGAACTTCAGTCAGAACTTCCTCTGCTCCCCACAATGCTGGCTGGGCCCTGTGTGGCAGTCTGGTTATTTAACCCAAACATATTCATCTGTGCCCTCTATTTTTGTCCACCTCAGCTAAAGAAAACAAAGAAGTCATTTTACCAAGACCATATAACCATAGTTGTGGCCAATCAGGCTTTAGCAGAAAATGTCTTTAAGAGATCTTGCCCTTTTCTTATTATAAACAGATGCATCCAGTTTTGATTCTTGGAGTCTTGCCTACCTGGAATAAACACGTGATGTCTCAAGCTGAAGCAGCTCTTTTGAAATCATGAAGCAAGAAGCCAACACGCTAAAATAGAATAAATTAGTTCAAATCCTTGATGACATGGCCGAGCAGCTACCCAAGCCCTGGATGGCCACTTTGAGACTTCTTATTAAGAGTTTAAAAGCCAGGCTACAGCCTCGGATCCCAGCACTTGTTAGACTCTCCTCCACCCAGTTCTCAGGCCTTAAGTCTTTTGTGCAGGAGTATCTTAAGTTCAAGGCCAGCCTAGGCTACAAAGCAAGGACTATGTCTCAGAAAAGAGTCATTAATAGTTGAGGTGTGTGTGGAGGGGTTATTAGGCTATAATGTTTGGACCTAACTGAATTGACTGTTGTTCAAAAGAGAATCACCACATAATAATTTAAATTTTTATTTTATTTTTTTTCAAAATTGGATTTTTGGTGAAATGTCTTAGAAAATTGCAAATTCATATTTTACATTTAAATTTTCTATATTTAATTGCTATTTCAACACTTCCAAATATACATAAAAATAGAAAGCATCATACAACTTTTTGCTCACACACCCAGAGGTCAACCCTCAGCCTCTGATCCTTCTTGGGATGGAAGCTTGTTCTATTGTTAAGGCATACTCTTCGGTCCCCAGCACCAGTTCTGGATAGAAGGTCTATTGGGCCAGAAACCCAAACTTTTATAATTTTTTTCTGTAACTTTTTTGTTTTGTTTTTCGAGACAGTGCTTCTTTGTGTAGCCTTGGCTGTCTTGGAACTTGCTCTGTAGACCAGGCTGGCCTCAAACCCACAACGATCTGCCTGTTTCTAGGTAAGAGAGATCTGAGTGTTGGGATTAAAAGCATGGATCACCACGGCCCAGTAAAGGGGAAATTAATGCTGTGGGTTTTATGTTTGGTTGGTTGGTTAGTTTTCGAAACAGGGTCTCTGTTTCGAAACAGGGTCTCTGTTAGCCCTGGCTTCCTGGAACTAACTCTCTGTAGACCAGGTTGGCCTCAAAAGAGATTTGCCTGCCTCTGCCTCTCAAGTGCTAGGATTAAAGGTGTGTGCCACCACTGCCCCTGTAACTTTTTATGCTGCTCTGGGGTGATTATTGCAGACATTTTTCTAAGACATTTTGTGAAATTTTCTTTGTGCGTGAATCTTGCTATCCACGTATGGAACAGGCAGCTGTTCCCAATAAGGGTCAGACCAGGAAGGACACACCTGCCTACTCCCCAGTGGGCACACCTGTGGAGTCCTGCCCACTGTGCCAAAACCACCAGGGGAGGCCCTGGCAGCTGTGCCCTTCATACCTACCTATTTGTTAGGAACAGATTGGCATTGTTGGAGGCTCTGCCAGGCTTCCACCAGTCTGGACAGTAGCCAGACACTAGTCCTGGCCACTGGGAGTTCTTCCTGAATCTGAACTGTTCTGAACAAAGGCAGACCTTGCTGGTCTTGGCATGTGAAACCTGGTGTGCTTGTGAGCTTTGGATTGTTTTTCCAGAAGTGATACAGAGGGCACCCGAGATCTGACTGCCAGCCTGTCACCCCCGTGTGGAAGCTGCATCTTAGCCTCAGAAGGGAATTAATTAGGCCCCCATATGCCCTCGAGCTACAGGTGCCAATGCCAACCACGGTCTATACTTCCCCAGCCCTGCCTAACAGGTTTGCTGACTTCCAGGAACAGTCCAGGAGGAAAGGTAAGCACTTGGCCTTTGGGCAGAAGGAGCTCTGGGCTTGGGCCTTACAAGCACACTTTGGTCCAGGCGGCAGCTTGGAGCTGCCAAGCACACGTGGGCAGGGCTTTTTTTGTATGGGGTTTTGGAGGGCCCTTATTGACTCTGGTGCCATCCGCAGATAGATTGCCGTCTGGAAGGTTCTACTAACTTGGAAAGCCATGGGGCCTACACCCAGTTCTCAGGTTTTAAGTCATGTGTGCCTTGTTTGGAGATGGGTCTAGAATGATTATCAGTATTCTATCTATATGTTCCTTTTTTTTTTTTTTTAAACAAGTAATGCCATACTGCACTTCCAAACCAGCCATTCCTGTCAGTGTCCCCATCACCTGTTCAGATCAGCCTACAGGCCCAGACAAGCTTTCCAGGCAGTTGGGGCTAGTGATTTCAGTCCCCCCTTGCCACACTACATGGCTTCTGCTAATGTACATGGGGTAGACTCTGCCACGATGTAGCTGAATCTGTGATGACAGTCACCAGGAATCCTACAAGGTAACTATCAGGTCAGCAAGACAGGTAACCCCCCATCATTCCTGGGCCTTGGGCTGCCACAGACATTTTCTTGATAAATGATTGATGTGGGAGAAGCCAGTCCACTGTGGGTGGTGCCATGTGTGGGCAGGTGGTCCTAGGTGTATTTTTAAAAAGCAAGTTGGAAGCCTGATGTGGTGAAGCACATCTTTAATCCCAGCATTCAGCAGGCAGAGGCCGGCGGATCCCTGAGTTTCAGGCCAGCCTGGTCCACAGAGCTACATCCAGGAAAGCCAGGGATACATAGAGAAACCCTGTACCGTCCCCTGCAAAGGAAGTTGAGTGAGCCATGGAGAGCAAGCCAGTGAGCAGCATTATTCCTTCATGACCTCTGCCTGGAGTTCCTGCCCCAGCTTGCCTGAGTGAAGGACTGTATGTGACCTGTAAGATAACAAACTCTTTTACCCCGGTTGCTTTTGTTCATGGTATTTATCACGATAGAAGACAAAACACTAGCAGATACTTCAGCAGTGAATCGCACTTTCTGCTCTTGCAGAGGATGGGGTTCAGTTCCCAACCCCCACATGGTAAAACTCTCAACGATCTGCAATTTCAGTTCCAGGGGATCCCGTGTCCTCTTCTGGCCTTCCTGGGTACTGCACGCGCATGGTATACAATACATACATGCAGGGAAACATACACATAAAATAAAAACATTAAAGACCCTCTCACGCAGAATGAGAAAGTGACTTATACACCTGAGTGTACATGGACTCTGTCACCAGGGACATCATATTATGACGAACTGTTAATTTCTTCTCAAAGTAAAGGAAAAGTGGACCAAAGGTAAGTTTGCTAAACTGTTGTTTGTTTGTTTGTTTGTTTGTTTGTTTGAGACAAGGTTTCTCTGTGGAGCCCCGGCTGGTTTAAGGCGTGGACCACCACAGCCCAGCTGAATTTGCTAACCTAAATTTCACACTGTTTACAGGAAGTAGTAATATCTCCACCTTATAGAGAAAGAAGCTGTCTGGAACAAGCCTCCGGAGGCCAAGCACGGTCCACGCTTGTTCTTAACACAGCAGAATGGGGTGGCCTGTTCAGAACCTGCTTCTGAGGACCTCCGAAACAAACAAAAAAAAAAAACCTTCAAACCCACGCAAAGGTGTTTCCAATTCCACCTGACTGCCCTTTCCCCTCGATGGTGACCAATCCTAATGCACCCGGACCCCAGGACCAAGGAGCCTTGCCTGAGGTTGCTGGAAGGCTGCAGATCACAAACTACACACACTAAGGAAGAACACATGCTGAGATCCTCAGGTGGGAGAAACACTGCTCATCACCGGACAGTCATAGACAAGGCCAGGTGCAGCTCGGAGAGGTCAAGGTCATATGATAAAAGGGGGAAGTAAGATCCGGATCATCCCTGCTCCCTGTCTCAACACAAAGGCTGCCTCCAAACACCAGTCTGGCTTGGACGATGAACTCAAGTTCCCGGTAGAAGATAGCATTTACAGATTTACAGAGCGTGACACACACACACACACACACACACACA